GATGCAGGGAGGGGCGCAGGCAAAGGTGGTAATAGATGGCCGTCTTCAGTCAGTGTTTTTAGATGGGCTCTGCTGACTCTGTCTCACGTGCGATAATTTTTGCATTCTACGTAGTGTCTAGCTACACGCCCCTGTTATCTCGGTCATCTCAGAATAGAGTCAACCCTGTCCGCGTCCGTGGCTCTGGCTCAGTCACGCTCCCGTGGTCAACACAGAAGCACCGTCAGCCGGCTGCCACCCTTCACCGGCTCGAAACTATGTCCCGTCCGCATGTCCCGCGGGGTTCACGTGGCCCAACAGCCGGACACGGCGAGTTTGTAGTGTGTTGTCGGTGGACAGGGAGTGAGCCGGTCCTCGTGTGGCCTGTCTCGCACCACCCGTGATCAGCTGTGACCCGACATCACTCCCAGAAGCGCCTGGTGACTGCCGGCCCGCGTCTGGGGGCTGGGGGAGCTCGTGACCTCACCTGACCCCGCCTGACTGACCTGACCTCAGCCTCATCTGAGCGCCGCGCATGGCTCGCCTCCGGTCATGAGCACACGCCTCCTATAGCCGGCAGAAGCCCTGGAGCCGGCGTGGCTCGAGCAAGCGCTGCCGGCCACTCAGCGTGGACCTCTAACGGATAAGGTCACCCGACCGTCGCGGGCTGGACGGTACGAGGCCACCAAATAAAAGGACCGAACTTGTGGCAGATTTGGGCCGAAATATTTTAGTTTTGGGTCTGGTGACGAGATTCAGCAGCTCTCGAAAGTGCTAATAAAACCTTCAGTGTGCTTAATAGCCGTTGTACCTGTTGCAAACCACTGAGTGCAGCTGACACGTTTGCGTGGCACATTTTCATCTGGTGAGGTCGGAGCGTATCGTGTAGGCTTAAGTTTCGCTTTAAGGAAACGCATCAGGCAGGTGACCGAATGCCACTGGTCGACGCTTCGCGAACGCCTGGTCGAGTCCTGCAGGACTACATGGGGCAATATTCGCGACTACTTGGAAGCGTGACAAGGCCCGCAGACAGAACTACGGTGACCATCTTGTTCGCAGCCAATTGCAGGCAATTGGTGGGAATCGTACCAAGCCCCATGGCTTGTCTATTGATTCAAGTGATCCATTATCCAGTTTGTTTGTCCACCAATCCCAGGCCACTTCAAGGAAATGCGAAATCACGTGTAAATATTGGTGTGTGTGTGCGTGCGTGCGTGCGTGCGTGCGTGCGTGCGTGTGTGTGGTGTGGTGTGTGTGGTGTGTGTGTGTGTGTGTGTGTGTGTGCGTGCGTGCGTGCGTGCGTGGCGTGCGGGTGTGGGTGCGTGTGCGTGTGCGTGTGCGTGTGCGTGTGCGTGCGTGCGTGCGTGCGTGCGTGCTGTGCGTGCGTGCGTGCTGCGTGTGTGTGTGTGTGTGTGTGTGTGTGTGTGTGTGTGTGTGTGTGTGTGTGGTGTGTGTGTGTGTGTGTGTGTGTGGTGTGTGTGTTGTGTGTGTGTGTGTGTGTGGTGTGTGTGTGTGGTGTGTGTGTGTGTGTGTGTGTGTGTGTGTGTGGTGTGTGTGTGTGTGTGTGTGTGTGTGTGTGTGTGGTGTGTGTGTGTGTGTGTGTGTGTGTGTGTGTGTGTGTGTGTGTGTGTGTGGTGTGTGTGTGTGTGTGTGTGTGTGTGTGTGTGTGTGTGGTGTTGTGTGTGTGTGTGGTGTGTGTGTGTGTGTGTGGTGTGTGTGTGTGGTGTGGTGTGTGTGGTGTGTGTGTGTGTGTGTGTGTGTGTGTGTGTGTGTGGTGTGTGTGTGTGTGTGTGTGTGTGTGTGTGTGTGTGGTGTGTGTGTGTGTGTGTGTGTGTGTGTGTGTGTGTGTGTGTGTGTGTGTGTGTGTGTGTGTGTGTGTGTGTGTGTGTGTGTGTGTGTGTGTGTGTGGTGTGTGTGTGTGTGTGTGTGTGTGTGTGTGTGTGTGTGTGTGTGTGGTGTGTGTGTGTGTGTGTGTGGTGTGTGTGTGTGTGTGTGTGTGTGTGTGTGTGTGTGTGTGTGTGTGTGTGTGTGTGTGTGTGTGTGTGTGTGGTGTGTGTGGTGGGTGGGTGTGGGTGGGTGTGTGGGTGTGGGTGTGTGTGTGGGTGTGTGATAGCCTATCCCACTAAATCCCTCCAGATGACCACCGCTCCCACTGGGAACGAGGCAAGTGGCACAGGGCTTAAGAGACTAATCAAGGACAATTTCAGAACCACTGCAAGGCATTGGAACTAGCTGTGATAGAAACCTGAGTCGATCCCATATCGGAGGTTTAGCACCTGGACACATGTTTCTGTGAAAGGAGCATAACTCGGTACATCCGACTGGGCCCAGACATAATTTATATTTCTCCTGTGAAGGCTTATGATTGTTCGCTTTTAGCACTTGACAGCATAGATTCATTTATCACTAAAAATTCAATTATCTTTTGATTGTTATTTGTTTTGTGGCATACCTCCCAAGGCGTAAAGATAAATGTTATCTGTCGGATCCAGACTTAGAACATCACAATGGTAGCCCAAGTTCCTGATTGGCCACCTAGCCAGTCACGCAAGAGTGGCTCCACGAAGTTGCCGGAGAAAACGGCATACTTGACTCTTTGTTAAAACAGTTCGACTTCACGTATCCGGCTAGTCCGTATAATCTTTTTTAATTAGCTGATTTAATCGTGAAAAGTGTTCATGCGGGCAGCATCAGCTCTGGCGCCGCAAATTTTCAAGCCAGCTGAGCGGGCATCCCCGATGGTACCCCTTCCTCCGACGAGGCGTCATATCTAATCGAAAACGAAGGCGAAGCTTTGTCCCGGACGGATGTGTCATGACGTTCCATAACACGTCAAGATTCTCGATATTGGTCATCAGACTGGGGCAGAATTACATCACAGTTCGGACCGTTTGGACTGAAGTGTCAGCGTCCATGCAGCTTGGCGGAAACAGCGCTCCCAAAGCAAGAAGAACAAACAAATCATACTGACAAATTTTTAAAAAGAGCTCGGGTAAACGTCAAGGACCGCGCTAACGTCGGAGTTCAATGAGCCTTGGATAATGCCTATGCTCACCCTGACGCCTTTCCAAAGCCATCAGTGCATAGGGGCAAAACACTATTCTAGGCCAACGAGTTTCTACATTGTTACCAAACCTTCACGCACAGTGACAGGCATTAAGTTCAAAGAACTAGAAGGACTTGAGGTACCCCCTGGTATGCTGAAAGTTACACCCATGCCTACGTTTCTTGGATCCACAACAAATCCGGCTTTTGTGTTCTTCCTAGCGGCCCCGCATAACACGCGATAAAATCGTTAAGATAAAGTTACCACCTGACACATCCACAGGAACACACTGCAGAGACGCTAACCTTCCACGCGCCCGGGAGGCCGGGTGATGCCCTTCACTCGGGTGGAGGTCAATTTGGACCACCCCCACAGATCTCAGGAACTACGAGAGCTAGAGACACAAAATTCACAGTGTGTTGAACTGTACGTGAACTCACTTAGGCCAAGGTTTGAGGTCGCTTGGTCATAACCTTCGGGTCAAATACGGTCGAAAAAGGTCAAATTCTAGGTTGGTCACTAAAGGGTCCTTAGAACCTAGATAGCTATTCTGAGCAAAAAGTCACATATTCTTTTAAGGTCATTGACCTTGTTTGACCTTTTGAAGGTCATTATGACCGAAATCATAAAAGACTGCCATGAGTTTTGCGTTTGAATAAGCGATTAAGATTACGCTAGGCAGTCTGTTCCTGAAACCAAATGTTAACCTGGGTAATCTTAGGTCAGTGACCTATTCTGACCCTTAAGATATCCATGGGAGGCGTATAGTGCGGTTCCTGTTGTCAATAAATTCGAAATGGGCGCCAGAATATACCCCATACATCAACCCGTAGAGCAATAAAACAGGTTGGTTCTGACCCTGATCTGATCTTCACACCTGATCCTAGGTTAATGTTACTTGCTTATTTAATTATGTTGCCTAAGAAACCATCTCAGAGATGTATGGCTTCGTCTAGCAGTCCGTTGTTGGATCAGATTGAACGATTCCGTAGAAATTGTCTTCGTTGAAACCATGACCTGACGTTGGCCTGCCGTAGGTCAGCGACCTTTCAAGGTACATCTAAATTGTTGATATCAGACGATGTGCTATTCAAATGTCTACAGCTATGCAACATTTGGCGCGACTACACCGCGCCGTTCGGAAACCATTCGGGAAAAAACTTTGGGAGAGGTCAACTTCACCCCCAGCCCGGGCGCGTGTTAAGAACTGGGTTGCGAGGGACGCCCTGAAAGTTCCATGATTAAGTACGCATCGCGTACTTAAGTGCATCAAAACATCCCAATCTTCATCGAGCTGGATGCCGGATGGTTACAGGGGACCGGGCGGAGCATGATTTCTGGAAAGAACGATAGACCGTGTGCACCGCAGGTAATTTCAGCTGGTGATTTAAAATTGACAACGATCTCATTACAGCATACGGACCAAGTAAAACATAAAAAGCACGAACAGCTCAAACCAGCGTTTATTACCATGGCAAAAGTGATCATGACCTTACACTGGTCACGAACTTAGGCCAACGCAACCAGTGAGCGATCCCCAAATGGCAAACACTAGCCGTTGGCGGAGCACCGTCGGTGGTTCGCCCCCCATTCTATGTTGTTCTGGGCTCGCCTCCGACCAGGGATGGTTATTACTATCATTTCAGCAGCACATAAGGAAAAAACAGTCCGACCTCTTCAAATGGACAAACCCTCGCGATTGCGCTGCGTTCTTTGGAATCTATTGGGGTCCTTCCGGAGCCAACTCCGACCAGACCCGTCTCGTCACCAGTGCCTCGGTTCGTGTGCTGACAAGGGCGAAGATTCATGATCCGCTTGCTTACATCAAGTACGAAGCCGGCAGCCGTCCTCCTGACATCGCTCATACAGGCTTTTCAATAACGGCGTGATTAACGATAAAGTGAAAAGTGATGGCCCTTTGCGGAGGCCGCTCCTGCCGGCGCGCGTGCGCTGAGCCGGCATTCTCCAGCCGCAGCCTGCCCGACAGTCCGTGCGCTGAGCTGGCATTCTCCAGCCGCAGCCTGCCCGACATTCCGTGCACTGAGCTGGCATTCTCCAGCCGCAGCCTGCCCGACATTCCGTACACTGAGCTGGCATTCTCCAGCCGCAGCCTGCCCGACATGCCGTGCACTGAGCTGGCATTCTCCAGCCGCAGCCTGCCCGACATGCCGTGCGCTGAGCTGGCATTCTCCAGCCGCAGCCTGCCCGACATGCCGTCGCCCGCATATATCGTTTGCATGATAATGCAAGCTATGCTCACACAGCGACAGACGAGTCAAAGGACGACCAGAACGGCGCAGTTCTGTGCAAAACGCCGCCGTCTGCCGACAAAAGGCGCCGTGCGGCGGTGGGCCGAAGGAAAACAGACAGAGCCCGACGACAAAGCGTGGCGCCTCCTCCAGCCGAGAGGCGCGCCCGGGGGTCAGTCACGCAGCGGCCCGCGCCGGCCGATCGGCTAAACAAACAGCCACCGTTCCCAGGCGGAGGCGGCGGCGGCGCGCGCGTGGTCCCGGCGGCGCGCGGTCCCGGTCCCGGCGGCGCGCAGATCCGGTCCCGGCGGCGCGCGGTTCCGGTCCCGGCAGCGCGCAGGTCCGGTCCCGGCGGCGCGCAGGTCCGGTCCTGGCGGCGCGCAGTCCCGGTCCCGGCGGCGCGCAGTCCCCGTCTCGACGGCGCGGTCCCGGTCTCACCATCACGCGGTCCCGGCCTCACCATCACGCGGTCCCGGCCTCACCATCACGCGGTCCCGCTCTCGCGTGATCGATCACGGCAGGACGGCGCCGACCAATAATGAAATCCCCGGCAAACGATCATCTCGGGACGTTTCGTCGCCGCGCCGGGCCGCTTTTTAATTTGACAGTGTGAGACGGTCGGACGACCAAGGTCGGCATAAGACGCGTGGTCGGCGCTGGGCCCAGAACGCTGTGCTGACAAAGGGAATGCCATACAAAGTGGGGATGAATCGCGACCTTTAATGCCCGTAACCACTTATGTATGATAACAGCTAGTATTCAAAATGCCTGTTGTATCGCAACTAATAATGTATAATGGCTTCCGTTGTACCCTAACCCGTAATGTACCATAGCGCCCGAGGTTTGAAAATACCTACGGCGACGAAGTAAAATCAATCACAGCTGCCTGCAGACCAAGTTTTGTAATCGACACAGTTCAGATTAGACATACGAGCTAACTGAACGCAAAACACTGGGGTCAGTTAACCTTTGTCTAGTGGAAAACAACAAAAAGGCCCGACTGAACGCAAAAGAGAGCAAATGCAAACGCACCACAAAAACGCGACAAAGCACTCAAGTGGCTTAGGGAAGCTTAGCCGGTCATGGGGAGGCCTCTGAGACACGTGGCCTGAGGTCGTTGACGTGCGCTGCTATTCGTCAAGACGAAGCGTGTTGGCGGTTACATGACAGACGGGAGCTCACAATCACAGAGCGAGTCCGATGCTGGAGGGGGCGAGGAGGTCACGGAATCAGCAAGGTCATTGGAGATAATGCAACCGTTGTTTCACGTGGCTGGGCTCAAAGAATGAAGTTCACGTGTTGGTTTCACTGAAATGACGGCACCAGCGAGCAGAACAACATTCGCGCGGTGAACTCGTGCACAGAGAGCAGGCTCACAGACTTAAGACCCGTTTCTGGAGTGCTTACGGCTTCAACGCGACTCAACTATGTCGACATGAAGACTGAAATCATGGCCGACCATTGTGATCTACGGTAAATTGTAAGCCAGTAAACGATGATGTCTTCATCTCAACGACTGCATGCCCTTGTAGGCCGAATAAGAGATCCTTCAGATGCACATCAATGCGGCATGCAAGTGAAAAAATCGATAGTTTTTTAATCAGTTATTTCGATCGCGAGCTTGTTACTGGACATGCGTGCATGTGGCAGACAAAATTCCAGCGCCGTGTACCATTCTGCTCTGCACATCATCCCGACTGTAACATCTTGGGGTCGACTAGCCTGGAGCTCACATGCACCAGACCTGCACTCTCCCTCCCCCACAACTCGTCCTCATTGTGGCCGGGACCGGATGGCAGTAAGAGCCACAGGCCTGCTGCCACGCTGTCGTTCGGCGGCGGCCCAATGCAGAGTCTCATCACAGGCTTCCGCCCGTCTGAGGGCCGCAGCTGTCAGCCCAAGTCACTGACAGAGAGCCCAAGATGACCCTTGACCCGGATGACCCTTTCAAAAATGGCGTCCTCCTCAGCGACAATGAGGTCCGGCACTTCGGTGACATTTGTGTTCCGCTAAAACGTACGCGATCTCTTAAAACACCAAGTCATAACAAGGTGAACTGGGTCTTTGGAGGCAGCATTGATGATACAAGCCTAATCAGCAGTCGTTTATGACCTTGATTCAGGTTCGTACCTTTAGCTAGCTAAAATATAGTCCCGTATCTACAGCGGCACCTCGCCCACATCGAGACAGCCAGCCTACATGCCTCCACCTCCCCTTCTCTCCCAAGGCTGGGTCGGCACGCGCCGGCCCGGCTGAGCTCGGCTGGCCGGCGACGGCCGGAGCGGGGAAGTGGCCGCGTCCCCGTCGGGTCGCCGATCCCCCAACCCGCGCGGCTGACCCGGCTGAGCCAGGCTGGCCAGCGGCGGCCGGGGCGGGGAAGTGGCCGTGTCACCGTCGGGTCACCGATCCCCCAACTCGCGCGGCCGGGCCGTGACTCGCGCAACGCCCGGCTGATCGACCGCGGTGAAAGCCGACTGAGCGTCGGGCGTTCGGCATTTCACTCGGCTTACTCGCGGGGCGAGCTCGTAATGGTGGCGCGCGCCTGAATGCGGCGCGCGGGGATGACCCTGCCGCCGTTGGCGGGGCATGCTGCGGTCACGGGGACGCGACCCCGCATTCAGCCGGAGGGCTTGCCGGTCTACTGGCGCAGCCCATGGTGCCGCCGGGGTCGTGACCTACCGGGACGTTCGTCCGGAATAGATCGCCGAGAACGGCTGTGTCTGCGGTCGGTTACAATTGCGTAGCAAATGAGAAGGGCCTCGTAATGGTGCTAGGTGTTATTGTGCATCGGGTTTCGTAGCGAATTTCCGCCAGGGGAAGAATTAAGTTACAACTGTCACATCCGCCAACGTCTGACCTTATACAGCACAACAGTCAAGACGTCATGAGTCGTTTGCAGACGCGCTGATGCACTGTGTTTTCCAGATAAAGAGCACCAATCGCGAGTGAGTTATAGGGAAAACTTCCTCTTGCATTCGTTCCGAACAAGGCAGCGCCGACGGCGTGACCTTCGCAAAACTTCACGGTCTGCCTGGCGATTGCCCACGTCGGACCTGAGCGCGGCCATCCGCAGCTCCGCTCAGTTTTCTCGCCCGTCGCAGTAACGGCCATCTAGTGTCTAAGCAGGCGGCCCGCCAGCCCGCGCCACATGCGGTCCGTTTTTATGCCGTCCAATCATCATCAGACCCCGACCGGCCCGGCCGCGGCTTGCGGTTTGTTGTGACCCGTATTAACCTACTCCGGTTTCGCGGCGCGGCCGGCGACTCTCGCACCGCTCCGCGCCGTCACAAAGGCTTCGCGGAAGCCACACGTCCGTGGGGGACGGACGCGGCGCCGGACCCGGCCGACTGGCGGCACAATACTCGTCCTCGCCTCTCCGCCCCGCTCGCCGCCGGTCCCACGCCGCACAAATCTCCGGCAATCCCCTTTGTGAGGGGCTTCCTCGGCCGGTTTTCCGGTTTGCTCCGGCGGCGGATCCAGCGCGGACACGGGCGGTTTCACGGCGCTCGTCAGCTGACGGTTTCGGGTTCCGTCCCAGTCACGCACCACCGCAGCCGCGCCGCCGCCGAAAGCGACACGATACGTCGCGTTATCCGTCCAATCAGCCGTTGCACCAACAACAGTGCGCCGTCGCCACGGTAGTTTGCTGGCTCAGCGCGCACACTCCGTACTGGAGCCCACTCCGCGCCGTGCGAAGCAAGCGTCACCCCCTCCCCGCGCGAAAAAGGCTGAGGACCGATTGGCGACGGGCAAGAATCGACGCCCCCGCCGCCCGCGCCGCCCGGACGGCGCGAATCTGGCAGCGCGTGCAGCCAGATTCGCGCCGCGCCGGCAGAGGTCACGTGCAGGTCGAACCGGTCTGTGACGTCACGGGGCGGACCTAGCGACGGAGCGGCTTGTCTGGGGACGGTGACTTGCCGCACGAGAGTACGGCTCCGATCACCCGATAGGCGGCAGCGGGTGAGCGGCACAGCCCGCCACCAAGGCATGCCTGCTACCTGTGCCGGCCAAAAGGCCTAGTCCTCCCAGTGTGACAGGCCAGCCGCTGATGGCGCATCGCATCACACAAGAGCACGAATTCCCGGCGCATCGCACCGCACGAGAGCACAAATTCCCCGCGCATCGCACCGCACGAGAGCACAAATTCCCCGCGCATCGCACCGCGCGAGAGCACAATTTCACCAAGTGGAACCGGTAATGGCGGGTAGTTTGTAAACAGGGAGCTGCAAACTAACGGTGGATAACACTGAGACGGAACTTTCTTCGGGCCACACCAAGGTCATCTATTGTACAAATGGTATCAAGCCTCGACAAGGCCTGGCGAGTCGTGTCTGAGCTCGATGACATCGGGCGCGACCCCAGCACTTCCACTCAAGTCTTCGAGCGGCATCATTGAGCACCGTTTTACATATGTGTTTGGCTTCTATCAGATGCGAGCCTGAGCTGAAGGAAGGCCGGCACGTGTCAGCCCGCCCAAGTCAGCGTGCCACGCTTCCAAGTGAGAGTGATGGCTCGGCCGCATGCTGGTCCGGACAGCTGGGCGAAGACATACCCTGGCCGCTGAACATCGCGAGGTTGCCGGGGGACAAGACCTCTGCTGGCTTAAATCTATATGTCAGGTTTATGATTTATACCTGGTGGAACCATGTCCACGTCGTGACCGGCAGTGCATAGCAGCCGTCGAATCATGAATCTCGTCGCGTCTTGGTGTTACCGTCCTGGTGCAAGTGGTCGTCACAGTGGCATTTGACGGTCGCAGTGCTGTCTCGTTCCCAGCCTGCTCCCGGTCGTCCTCAGTGCGTAGGTGGTAAACGCACGCCGGGGCAATTCCCACCTGGTCACGCCGCCGGGCGTAATTGCAGATAATCACCGGCGGCACATGTAAATGACGAGCTCTTGGAATGTGGCCACCATGCAGTTAACTGCATCCTTCAGCTTGCCGTCCAATCGTGTTCTCCGCCGCCGCGCTAGAGTCGTCCAGCCGAGGAACGTCTTGTTCAAAGAAGTCGACCGCTCCCCCAGACGGTGGCCCGGCAACGCCGACGTGGTGCCGTTATAATGCTGTGATGAGGAGCGGAAGGCCGCCAGGGGAGCGCGAGCTAATGAGGAGCGCCACAGCTCGCCAGGACCCGGGCCGGGTCTACAAGGCGTGATGGGGCATGTCGTGCCTGTCGCACCAGACTGGGTAGCATGTGGCTGCGTGCGACAAACTTACGCTGGCGTTCGACTAAAACGCAAAGCCAGTTGTGCGATTCTGCGCACCACGTGTTTGAGCGGTATTGCGCAATCGATGAGAAATTCGGACGCGGCCTTCCTTTCCGTTTCGCTGCGTATATCAGGCAACAGTAGCGTGTTTCGTTAAAAGCCGCCCGCGGTAGATCTGGACGCAATATGCTACTGTATCGCTGCGCGCCCTGTTATTATTCACTCGCCCCATCAGATTCCTCCCACGGTATGGAAATTGGAGGACGTGTTCAGGGAGGGTGAGGGGGGCGAATATCGCATCAGCTGTGCACTGACTATCCATGCTGTACCATCGGCCGTGGGCGCTTTCTAGGCAGCTGCGATACTGTCAACAACTTCCGGCATCCATTTCATAGACTTGTTTTAGCCGCTTCGTCTCATTGATCACGATATGGGTAACTAGCCCTGTCCATGACGCATTCCGTCCGCCAACTTGATCGCAGCCATAGCACCGCCACAGGCGCAGGGAGCCGAACCAGCGACCAGCCGACGCCAACCAGCGGTTGACCAGCAATCTCCAGCCAGCGGTTTGGCGCCACCTCCGACAGACCTCGTGCCGGACAGGTGAGCCCTCCGCTGGTCAGTCGACAGATTCTCGCTGCCTTCCCTCCGCCTCCTTGTCATCAGCACCCTCCCTCACTCGTGGGGCGCGTTTTATCGCGATGCGCGCGATGCTGCGTCGTTCGTGTTTTCCTGGTAGTAATCGAAGCCATCGCCTCGTCGGATGACGGACCCGCTGCAAATCGGGCGACACCGGCGCTGGTGACATTTCAGCAATCGGTGGCGACACAGCACATCGAGTCCGCTCACATTCCCCCTCTACCTCCCGCCGCCACCTCCGTCTCCCGGCCGGCTAACCCCGTCTCCCGATCGTCTGCCTCCATCTCCCAATCTGCCACTTCCGTCTCCCGACCGGCTGCCTCCGTCTCCCGATCTGCCGCCTCCATTTCCCGACCGGCTAACTCCGTCCCTCGATCTGCTGCTTCGGTCTCCCGACCGGCCACCTCCGTCTCCCGATCTGCTACCTCCGTCTCCGGACCGGCCACCTCCGTCTCCGGACCGGCCACCTCCGTCTCCCGGCCGTCTACCTCCGTCTCCCGACCGGCTACCTCCGTCTCCCGATCTGCTACCTCCGTTTCCGGACCGGCCACCTCCGTCTCCCGACCGGCCACCTTCGTCTCCCGATCTGCTGCCTCCGTCTCCGGACCGGCCACCCCCGTCTCCCGGCCGGCTACCTCATCGCTCACCTGTTTTGGCCTCCTCTGCAACACCCGCAGGTCCCCGCGCTCTCGCGACACTGCGACACTCGGCGACACCCGGCGACACACGCGCGACACTAGCGTACCCCACTCGTCCGCTCTCGGCACTGCGCGGCACCGCGGGCGACGACCGGTACCGGGACAGGAGCGGGCGCAGACGGACGCGCGGCGGCAGCGGCCTCCCGGCGGTGCGGTCGGAGCTCGAGTGACGCCGGCGAGGCGGCGCGGCGGCGGCGGCGGCGGCGGCAGCGGCGGCGGCGGCTCGTGTGGCAGAGGCTCGCCGGCTCCCCAGCCGCCGGTCACGCCCGATCGAACGCGTTTTTCTCTGGTGGTGTTTGACAGGCTGTGCTTTTTACGGTACAACAGACTCAGAGGCGGAGCTGCCGGCCAGCGCTGCACGCTGCCCATGGACGCCCGACACATCGGACGGGACCCGAGGCCTAGCGGCGCCGCCCCCGGCAGAGCACGGCACGGGTGACCCCTGAGGTCACACGTCGGCCGTTCAGCTGCGCCTCCCGACCTCGCACCATGCGGCGGGTACGGGACCACCGTACAGCTGTGGTGCGCAAACCGATTTGGCTGGGGCGTTGATGTGGTTGGGTGCTGGCGGTGACCGGCGAGGGTTCAGCGAAATGCAGTGCAGTTACCCGGAATCTAGGCTATTGTGCAGATAAGTAAGTTCTACGGATACCGGGAGTCGGTGCAACATCAAGAATCACCGTTGTTCAGTAGACGCCCCGCCCTAGGGAATCGCTCAACCGCATTTTCGCTTCGCTGAAACTCTGGCAGCGACTCTAACGTCTTAAAAATGCTTCTGTGACGTAATTAAACGATAACATGCTGCAGATCGTATTTACTTCAAGGTAAAATTTAGGAATTGAGAGCAGTTTTTTGCAGAAGAAAAATACACCGCAAATTGCAAGTCTGCGTATCCCACCATCTTCGATGATGGAGTCAAGTTCTTCAAATGCAAAACAGTCCCGAGCTTTTTGTTCACGTTCGCGAACTGCCCAATTTAGTTGTCATCAGCTTAACCAGCAAAGATGCCGTACACGAATCTTCCTGAATCCGTACACAAACTCCCCGAATCTTCCCGCGAAGTGAAGTGGGTGGGGGGGGGGGGGGGGGGGGGCAGGACGCGACAGCAGCCGTGGGAGCTGTCAGCTTCATCATGTAGATGGTCCCAAACCACGCTTTTTCAGCCGGACACCTTTCGCTACCAAGATGATACCATTGATTTGGTTAGCGTATTGGCATGCTTACTGCTTATGCAAATTTTTGGGGCTATGCGTTCACTGATGCGGCATTCGTGTTTCTTGCCCACCTCGTTGCTCGAAACTTTTCTGGTTATTAGCCTGATCAAGGCCAAGTATGTAACACGATCGGCTTGGTAAGGCTTCGCAATTTTAACGGACGAAGTCGATGAATCTCGAAGTCGAAGTCGAGTCGAATGTCATTTGTCCGTCCCGGTGGCTCAGTTGGTTAGAGCGCCTGCCTTCCGATCCACCCACCCGTGGCTGGGTGGGTTCGAGTCGCTTTAGGGCGCTCGCTATTTGCCCTTGACAGGTATGGCCTGCGGCCGGTGGCAGCGGTCGCGCTAAAGGTCAGTTGACGTCAGAGGGCAGGACGGACCGTGCCGAGCATTGCGGCACGTTAAGCTTTCGCCACTAAATTCTGCCGTTGCCTGGGATTGCGCGATCGGATGGTGGGGGCCAGAGCTCACGCAACAAGCACTGCTTAGCGTGAGCGCTGATCCCAGAAATCCATCCATTCAAAAGGGTTCGGATCAAATTTATTTAAAAAAATCTAGAGTGAATTATGGTTTTGCGATAGATAACCTACTGCGGACCAAGTTTTGTGGAAACGCCAATAATGTTGATCGACCGCGGTCACAATAAACGGGGCCTCACGTTCGCTTTCTATTCATTTCCCGACCTCTCCGCCTCTCGGTTGAGACCACCGCGTCTTTATACACTCGAGGTCGACCCAGGAAAACATGACTAGGCCGCCGCTCGGCCGATTGCTACGCACCTGCTCGTCGGGCAGTTTTGAGGTCCGTTGGTGAGTTGTGGCTGGTACGCTCACCTACGCTGGACAGCTGGCGTCACGCTGTCCTCCGCTATGGTTGCTGCGATTTGACACCGATCCAACGAAAAACACCGCATTGGTCATGTCCATGTTAGCGCCCGTCAGCGCGTGGAAGCCCAACACGCCCGCCCGTAATCCGACCAGCACGATTGCCCGTTTTGTTCTTCTTCAGTGTCTGTCAGTGTCGTGACATTGCAACGCCTGGACATCGAGCTCTTGAGCCGGTTTGGGCGCCAGTACCGAAATTTTATCGCGTCTCTAGTCACAGCTATGAAATCTTTATGACTGGCTGGAGTAATTCGCGAGCGGAGGCCACGCGTTAGATCTCCGTGTGTGTGTGTGTGCGCGTGCGCACGTGTGTTTGGTGCGACTCTCTCTCTCTCTCTCTCTCTCTCTCTCTCTCTCTCTCTCTCTCTCTCTCTCTCTCTCTCTCTCTCTCTCACTCTCCGCACAATAATTGCGAAAGTCACCAAAAGTTGAAAATAATGTTATGGCTCAAGTGAGATTCACTCGGTCTGCCGGCTCGCTCGATCACCGATTACGGTATGCGTTTCATTCCGAGGTATTTTGGGCGAGCCTGCTCATTTTTCGACGCCTGTACAGAACCGCAACGCAAGGTTTTCAGCCCCGACGCCCAATTTTCAGTTTTAATGTTGGGCTGTGATATTTCGTTATCCTGCGGGAGACGGGAAAACCTTACCCCAGATGTCTCGGGAACCGCTGTTCTAATTATGACCGGACAAAAACAATTCCACTAGCTTAAATCATCTTCATTTCTAAACCGTTCAAAACAAAAGTGAAATGGCGTCAGAGAAAAATTCAAAGTTTGGAGCATTTTTGACAAAATGCAAATAAATTTGTTAATAATGCACCAGTGCCCTTCCCCAAACATTCGGTACTTAAGAGCACCTCTGCCAGTACACTTGTATGCGGCCAGTGTGCGTATGATGCATATGTCTGGGTATACAAAACAATTTCTGGTCTTCATTTGATCTCAGTCCCAAGTCCAACACAGACGGGACGTAGAAAATTGTGTTTGTACCTTACTCACACAGCAGACTGCGCACAAAAAAGCCGCTGCGCGGCTGACGTCTTTAAAATTTTGGCACCACAAATATCTATGCCACATTAATTCCATGAAAGTCACGTATTTCGTTGCGTTGCGACGAACGTCACAGAAGCAACAAGCAAAACATCTCTGTGGTGATTGGCAGAATCTGCTGGATCAACCTGGAGGAACTACTCCTCCCTGTACCTTCAGAATACCTGTTACATCAGATACCTATCCTCTAACCGCCTTCATTCGAGACGCCTGCTGCCGGAAAACCTCCAGGCGGAAGACCTGCCCCGGATGTTTTCGCTCCGAAGACCTACACTTCGAAGACTCAAGACCTGCTGCTGGAATGCCTAAATACGTTCGAAAAACCTACACGCGAAAGGCGTACCCTTTGTAAGGCCTACTCCCGAAATACCTACGCTCGGAAGACCTACCCCTCATCAGGCATAATGCACGGAAGACCTACTGCCGGCTATCCCCGTCCAGAAGGCCAACGCGTGGACCTGAATACCCACTGCCGATTTCTGTAGAGTGCATCAGAGCAGAAAAGCAGAAAGGGGTAGCAAGGGGGTAAAAGGGGTAAAAGGGGTATGGCATAGCGGATGACCAGAGCAGTAGAGGCTCTTGCGCTGGGCTGAAAGCCGGCCTGGTGATCTGGCGACTTTGAAGCCCTACATGGTGCGTGTAAGGATCGTACTACATTCCCTTAACTCGCCTGAGACCATCTCCCAGACCAATAGGCATCGATTTCGCACTGACATCGCATCGGCAGTCGGAGCGAGGACGAATACTTCAGACCCGTTCACAAACAAATAGCAGTTCGTCATCCGCGTGCGGTGTAGGTATTCGAGAACTAAGTCTTCAAAGGCCCCGTTCGACCTGCCATCAGCACGATTCTCAACTGGAATGCGTGACGTCACACACTCTGACGAAGCGTTCGATGTGTGGGTTGAAGGGAAAGTTTTTAAACTAACTTTCTCTTCTTCCTTGACCTTTTACTTCAGACCACACACTAACCCTAGCTTACCGTTGACACACTACGAACAAAATGGTGTTTGGATCTGTAGCTTCTGCTACGGTATTGCTATCATCTTTCCCATCCGTATGTTGGGTGCCTTTTTTCATTTCCAATTCATATAAGTTTCTTCCCTCTCATTTTCAGTGTTTGCTTATAACGCTATTTATTTGCTGGGCAACGCAACCACACACCACACCAATCACTGCCACTCACCTTTGCATGGCTACTCTTGACATTCAATTCCCTCCTTATCTATCTCAAGCCGTATTTCCTCCAAAATTAGAGGCAAGTGCCCCCAAACAAAAAGAGATCAAGGGAAACGTGGAAAGCTCCTTAGCGATCAGGTTGACCCGGCAAATGGGCAAATAAGGCCAGGACAATGAACAGCGTAATGCCACTAGACATAGTAACGAGTCCCAAAATTTCCCCAAGCCATAGCTTCTCAACCAGCGAAGAATAAAGTTCGTCTGCTTATGAGCTCAGCACTTTTGCTAGCAATTGTTCTTGGTCGTCTGCAGGCCCAAAGGCGTTCAGTTTTGTTGTGTTTTTGTTGTTAGAAAACTGCGTCCGTTCAGTCGGTTATGGGCCCCTTCGGAGCTTTAAGCTCCCCTCGGCTTGATCCATAGCAGCATGGTTCCGTGCCTCCAGCCACCCTCTGCACCCGCCACGGGCCCGAGCAGCTTAATGGATGGGGTCCGTCAAGAACACAGAGCCATCCATTCACATAAGAAATACAACACAATGTGTAGGGCTTCGAACGATCGAGTGTGCTGAGTCCAATCGAGTCCGATCGAGTTCGAACGATCGAGCAGGTTGACATATAGGGACCCCGTCAAGAGCGTAGGGCTCTCTTCTCAAATGGAAAGCACCCAAAACCCAATGTAGAGGGCCCCCGAATGATCGAGTGTTTCAGCGTAGGTTAACATATATGGTTCCCGTCAAGAGCGTAGGGCTCTCCATTTAAATAGGAAGTACCCAAGACCCAATGTAGCGTGCCCCGAATGATCGAGTGTGTCCGAGGAGATCTTCAGATGACCTCGACAACCAAGACCCAAATATACAGGGCACCCGAACGATCTAGCGTGGCCGAGGAGGCAAACAGATAGGTTCCCAACAAGTGCGTAGGACCTTCCACTCAGATGGGAAGTACCCAGGACAGAATGTGGAGGGCCCCGAATAATTTAGTGTGCTCGGGTAAGTTAACAGATGGGCCCCCGACAAGGGCAAATGGTCTTCCTTTCAAATATGAAATACCCACGACATGATGTAGAGGGCCCTGTATAATCGAGTGCGCCGGAGCAGGTTAACAGATAGGGCCCCCGAAAAGAGCGGAAGGCACTCCATTAGAAAAGTAAGCATCCAAAATCAGACCTAGAGGTCCCCCGCGATCGAATGGACCCGAGCATCTTATCAGATGGGGCCTCGACAGGAGCTAAAGGCCCTCCATTCAAATAAGAAGTATCTAAAACGCCATGCAGAAGGCCCCGAAAGATGGAGTGTACCCGAACAGGTTCTCAGATGACCCCTGCACGGGCAGAGGGCCCTAAACTCAAACACCGAGAACCGATGTGCAGACTCCCGAACAATCCAGTGTGGCCGAGGAAGCAAACAGAGAGGGCCCTCGACAAGCGCGTAGGGCCCCCATCCAAATAAGACGTGCCCAAGACCCAGTGAAAAGGGCTCCGAACGGCCGAATGTGCCCGGGCAGGTTATCAGATAGGCCCCCCACAAGAGCGTAAGTCCCCCTTCATTCAAATAAAAAGTACCCAAGATCCAGTGAGGGTGTCTCCGAACGACCGAGTGTGCCGAAGCAGGCTATCAAATGGGCCCCCGACAAAAGCATAGGACCCTAAGCAAGTGACAGAGAATTGGAAGCCTCCTAGACGAATGTAGAAGCCCCTGAGCACACAGCGAGTGTGTGAATAGGTTAACCGAGACCCACGTAAAGGGCCCCTGAGCAACCGAGAACACTCCGGCAGGTTAAGATATGGGGCTCCGGCTGCAGTCCACAGAGCCTTTCTGGTGAATGGAAATAATCCGTGGAAGGGCTCTTGATTGACAAGAGAGCCCTGACACGCTAGCAGGAAGGGCCCAGCAACAGCGCAGGGCCCTCCGAGCAAATGCGCAGGAAGGGCCCAGCAACAGCGCAGGGCCCTCCGAGCAAATGCAAAGAAAAAAGGACAACGTGGAAGGCTTGTTAACGATCAGAATGACCCTGCACGTGGGCATATAGGCCCCGCAGGAACAGTATAGAACCCCTAGACAGTGTAATGGGGCTTAGTATTCCCAATTCACAACTTTTGTAATCATTGAATATTTTTTTACTCCCCGTGGGCCCTTGACTCTCCTTTGCAGCTATTCTTGGTCGCCTGGAAATCCAGAGATGTTTAATTTTGTTGCCCTTTAACAAAAACTACCTGTTCTACCGGCTATGGGCCCCTTGGAGCCAATGGGTCCCTTTGGGGCCCAAGGGGGGCCATGACCCCGTGCCCCCCCCCCCCCGCCCTTCTCTGGATCCATCCCTTTTGTCCTCTGAGTCTTGGTAGCGCGTCAGGAGTTTTTTTTTTAGAGTATAAGCATTTGGGAGGAGGTCTTTCGGAAGCAGGTCTAAAACCGAGCAGGCTTTGCGGGATTGGTTCTTCCAGTTTCGACCCGTGCCGAAATCTTGTGCGCTATGATACCAAGTTTTGTCTTTCATTTCATCCCTTCCTTTCCTTTCTCCTATATGGCAGCTATGGTTATGTTCAGGAACGGCGCTTTTGATTCGTTCAGCCGTGCGTAGAAAGCCCGGCTGAAAGTCACACGCATTTAGTGCATCCTTGTCCAGAGTTCTCCAGTGTGTGGGGGGCTGGGACCGCGATTCAGCTATTAATAGGTAAAAACAAATTACTGGTAGGTCCAGCTGTCCCACATAAGATAGCCAGCATCAGCCGTCCCCCACCTGAAGTGTTACGTTTTGGATGGCGCCCAGGTAGAGTCCAGTGGAGGAACTAGGCCACACACCCAGTTGTCTGTGCTGGTCCTCCAAACTTGCATTCGTGATGGTGTCGTGTTTTGTCCCTCAACTTTCTCTGTAATTCGGCTGGGGTAACCTGTAATGGTCAGGTTTGAATGTGTTGGGTGTGGCCACAGGTTCCAATGCCAATGAATGGAGCAACTGTTGTTCATTGGTTATCATGCTTTACTCCTGGCATGATATGGTGGATGTGGTTTCCTTGAAGAAAATGACTAAAGCATTAGTAAATATGTGCAGCAAAGAGAAAAATGGTTATGCCTTTGCTTATTAAATCACATCTATATGATAAAGCCTAGGGCGTTTTTTCTCACATAGATTGTTGAGTACATTGGTGGGGAGCATCTTGCATATATACATGGCAGTAGCAAATGGCCCTATTCCTCAGAAAAGAGCCAGGAAAATGTTTAGTTTGTGTGGAAATGTGTGATTAGTGTGATCTGTGAAAAAAACACCACATATTGTTTTTCCAGGTATGACTTGAGCATGGTGGTGAGCATGGGCAATGGTGTGAATTAGTCCCCATGCTTTCTTTGTTATGATACCTTGTTTATGCAGAGATCAGTACACAAACAGGGTTAACTCTCAAAATGTTTCTGAGATTTGAAAACTGGCAGTGAAAGGGGGATAAGTTATGTATGAAGTAGCTTGCTGACTGCCCTTGGCTTTAAATTTCTGCTGGATTTGTATTTGTATTGCAGTCATTTTCTGCATTTAATATTGATATGTGGCACCAAAATCTGTTCTTGGCTAAGGTTGTGTCATAGCATTAAAGTATGGCATGAACAAAATTGAACAACTGGATTAAGTAGACAAAATTATATTTGTTACATGAAAGATGTTTGCTCATCTGTGGAAAAACAAAAAAGATAGACCTAAGTTTAATAAATTATAAACAGAGTTCTTGCAATGTCTTGGTAAGAACTGCAATCCACATGTTTTGAGGTGATGATATATTTTTCTGTGAAAGACTAAACCTGTGAAAGGGGTTTAGTCCACTATTAAGTTGAGGGGCTCCAGCCCCCACCCCTGTGCTTGAGAAGAAGGTGGGCCAAATCTGGGGAGAAACTTATTTTTAGCCTATTTTGGGGTAGTTTGCATCATTTCTGACTGTGCAGCCCCTTGCCCAACCCATTTTGTGATACTGTGCTCCTGACCTTTGGTGTTCTTAAATTTTTGCATCAATATCCCTTGTGTTCCACAACTATCCCTGCATTTTTTGTTTTGATCATGAAATCATGCTAAAATCAAGCCATAAGTCCTCACACATCTTATCATTAGTTATTTAGCTCCTGGTGGATGGGTCACATCCTTTAAAAATGAGGTGCAATTTCTGTTGAATGATGTGTCAGCTTGACTATTCACTGCTCATAACATACTTAAGGGTTTAAGTTTAGGTTAAAATTCCAAATGACCAAAGCAAAACCTTGACAGACCTGCTTTGTTCATTTGCAATGTGTGATGAATTGTATGATCTGAGAACCACATGCTGGCCTTCAGAATCATCTTCATTCTGTTATTTGCTTGGATAGGTTGTATTGAGTACTTGTGTATTCAGTGGAGCAGGAGTCACATCAGTCTGTTTAACATCAGCTCTGATAGCTCAGTTTATCTGAGTGGCTGTGTGCAGACTCACCCACCAGCAGCTGGGCAGGTGCAAGCCCACTTAGGCTTTCACTATTTTTACTTACTGGGATGGCCTGTGACTGGGGGCAACAGCCGCACTCAATGTCAAGTGACGTAATGAGGTGTGATAGATTTTGCAGGGCTTTGCAGTATGTCAAACTTTTGCTGCCAGATTCTGCCATTGAACAGGGGTGGTGTCAGGGCTCGCTTAGCAACCACTGCCGAGCATCGGCGCTGAGCTCGGAAACCCTTACAGTCAAAGGGTTCTGACTTAATCTGAGATCTCTGCAAAGGAAAATGTGGCATGATTAACAAGCAAAATCACATTTATCAGTTGACACCTGAACCTGCGTGGGTGTAAATATTGTGAAACATCTTGCAGCACAACATAAAATCTGTTGGCGAAGGGTGTTCCCAAAGTACCTTAAACTTTCACTGGAGACCTAAAATATGATTGAGTAAAAGCCGATGTGATGTGGTGAATGCAGCAGAATGGAAAGGCCATCACTAGCTACATCCACATTTGCCTGAATGCCTATCTGGGCTGAGGAGCAGGCATGGTTATGGTACTCCATTTGGCCCATATATACTTTGACATTCAAAATAGTTCGTGGTGCGTCGTCCGTGCATGTCGTGTTGTCTGTTTTCACCGCATCGTGTGTAAAATGTGTTCAAATCACGGCGAATTCTCTTCAGTTGTCAATGGTGAGCAGCTCCTCAGCACCACCAATGCCCAGCTGTGCAGTTCAGCCGTCGTTGCGCTAACAAGCGCTCCACAGGGGCAATGCCGGGTAGGGTGCGCGCAACTTAACCCCATCTCCAATCGGCAGGCCGGCCGGGCTGCGCGCCTGCCGCTATGGCCTCCGACCGGCTGGTGGACCAGCGGTTCGACGGCGACGGCGGCGTGGCGTCGCTCTCGTTCCCGTCGGCGCCGCGCGAGCCGGCCGCGCCGGCGGCCGTGCCATGCCTGTGCTGCACGGCCGAGTTCACACCGCCGCTCGGCCGCGACGAGCTGGCGCGCCACCTGCTGGCCGAGCACCGGCTGGTAGTGGCCGATCTGGCGCTGGTGGCCGAGCTGGACGAGTACTGCGCGTACTGGGCGCCACGGCTGACCGCCGGCGGCCTGCGCGAGTACTGTTTCACCGTGCTGACCAACACGGGCCCGCGCGACGCCGAGCCATCCGAGGAGTACTTCCTGCTCTCGCCCAAGCTGGAGGAGGACCGGCTGCTGCGCGAGCGGCTGCAGCGGTGCCAGCTGGAGCGCGTGCTGGCGCGCCAGGCGGAGGAGCGCGCCATGGTTGACTTCCGGCGCGGCTGTCTCTTCTGTCGGCAGCAGTACGTCGGGCGACTAGCAGGGTTCTTCGACCACATGGCCAAGGACCACAACTTCAGCGTGGGCAGGCCGGATAACATCGTATTCGGCCCCGAGTTCGTGGACTTGATCGAGGCGAAACTGGAGCGGTTGCGCTGTCTCTTCTGCGACGGCGCGTTCAAGGACCGCGCCACGCTCAAAGAGCACATGCGCAAGAAGCAGCACAAGGCTATCAACCCGGCCAACAAGGAGTTTGATAGGTTCTACGTCATCAACTACCTGGAGTTCGGCAAGAGCTGGGTCGAGTTGCAGGAGGAGCGCGACGAGGAGCCGCCGACCGGGTTCGACGAGCGCCGCTCGGACGAGGACTGGTCCGACTGGGAGGAGCCGCCGGCCAACGGCGCCGTCTGCCTCTTCTGCGACTTTTCCACCACGGACGTGGACGCGCTACCGGCGCACATGGCGGCCGAGCATGCGTTTGACTTCTGCGAGCTGAAGACGCGCCTGCGGCTCTCCTTCTACCAGCAGGTGAAGCTGGTGAACTTCATCCGTCGCCAGGTGGTGGAGCGCACCTGCATGTTCTGCCAGGAGAGCTTCGCCTCGCGCCAACTCCTGCTCGCGCACATGAGAGAGGCCGGCCACTTTGCCTTACCGGAGCCGGCCGTGTGGGACCAACCGCAGTACTTCTTCCCGACATACGAGAACGACTCGCTGCTGTGCCAGCTGGAAGAGGCGGACGGCGCGGCCGACCAGGTGCCCGTGTTCGCCGAGGACCCGGTGGACGTGGCCGACTCGATCCTGGCCGACAGCGCGGTGCGCGGCGAACTGGGCGGGCCGGCGTGACCGGGCCCGGGTCACGGCTGCAGTCGCCGACCGGCCGCCCCGACGCGACGTGTGACCGACCTCCGCACAGCTCCCCACCCTTCCCGCGCGACTCCCCACCCTCCCTGCCCTCCCCGCGCGGCTCCCGCCCTCTCCGTGCGGCTCCCTACCCTCCCCGCACGGCTTCCCGCCCTCCCCGTGCGGCTCCCCACCTTCCCTACCCTCCCCGCGCGGCTCTCGACCCTTCCCGCGCAGCTCCCCGCCGTCCCCGCCCTCCCCGCGCGGCTCCCTACCCTCCCCATGCGATTCCCCGCCGTCCCCACGCTCCCCGCACGGTTTCCCGCCCTCCCCGCCCTTCTTGTGCCGGTCTACCCACAGCGACCGGCTGGCCGGCGGGACGGGTCGGCAGCTGTGGTGCGGTGTGCTGCTCCCCCAGTGTGCGGCTCCGGCATGTTGCGGCGGTTGCGGCGCGGACACTGGGTGCGGCGGAGCTGCGCACTCCGATTGGCCTCGGCGGGGGGCGTGCCACGGAACGGCAGTCGGAACGGCAGCCGCGCACGCCGGCTGGCCTCGGCGGAGGGCGTGCCACGGAACGGCAGTCGGAACGGCAGCCGCGCACGCCGACTGGCCTCGGCGCAGGGCGTGTCACGGAACGGCAGTCATCGCCTGGCCAGGCGCCCAGCCCGCGTGAGCCTGAGGACCACAGAAGTGTTGCATACCCGGCGGCGGTGGCCTGGAGAAAGGTCATATGCGCGCCAGGGGTCAGTCACGCTCTACGTACGTCACGTGTTGAACGTTAGATCTGACGTGCATAACGTACCTCTAAGAATTGTGCCGGTGCGTGACTGTAACGTAGGAACGCCTGGCTTCTGTGATGCGTAGTGGAGTGAGGTGCGTTTGCCGCGTGCTGCTGGTGCGACCCTGAGACCTCGCCAGGCTCGAGACGATCCCGCTGTGGGGCCCCGGTCCGGCCATGCTGTGGTTAAAGACAATGATTGGGGCTTTATTTCTCACTCTGCCAGAGCCATGTGGAGACGGGCTCTACTCTGCGGCTGTAACGTTGGAAGACTGGATGTGCATTCTTTCGTCGGATGTGCGAGAGGGCACCTTTGGTTTTGCCGTTGGATATGCCTTCGTCCCAGTCAGGCGCTCGAAAACCGAATGCGCCAAAAAACGCGATGCCTGGTACGAACGTGCGTTGTATCATTGGAACTTTTTGAGCTGTAGCTATTGTAGGTATGCTCGTAACAGTTGCAACTTTCAAGCTCAAGTCGATGCCAACGAGCCCGTCTTTTGCCAATTTTGGTGGTCGTATTTGTTTTGTGAGAAGCACCATCGTGGAATATGCATGCATGGTTCCACACCGCAGTGTTCGGGACGCTTGCTGGGAGATGTTGCGAAGCATCTGCTCGAAATCAAACACGACTAGCTGTCGGCCATGATCGTCCGTTACTTTGCCTCTGCGACTAACCAGCCTTGGCTCCCGGCGCCGGACTAATGCATCCCGGGGACTTTCAACGACATCCCGGACAACTAAGCTGGGTGGCAGATGCACCGAAACATCTGCTGGACCCCTGCCGACACTTCCAATACGGATACGGATACCGGTACGGATGCCTTCACTGCGTCAATGTGACAAAATTCACTTAACGCCATCAAACAGTCCACTTTGTGGCCATATGCCAACCGCCGTCCATAAGCCACACAACCACCCCGCGGACCCCTCCCCCTCGGCCAAGTGACTCATCCTCGGTCGAGTGGCCCGCTATTGCATCAACCAGCCGCCAGTTGGATTATGGGCACCTACTAGGATCGCCGCCGTGCAAACCCAGACATTTGGCAACCAGATAACTGCCATATCCGTTCTTCCACCATATCTATTCCGCGGGGACCTTAGCTGCACATCATCTGCAATGTGAGCCCATACGTCCTTCAAAAAGTTGCCCTCAGCGCAACACCAACCGACTGCTGCATCACACTGTCCCGGGATTGCAAGGTGATCTTGCTCTCTGTGGTTGGCTTAGGCTCAACGGCTCCACCCATCTCACGATGACGTACTTTCTTCTCATTTTAATATTGACATGATGTCATGTAATTTCCGTAACATGTGACAATGACTCGTTTCTGTTTGGAGCTAGTACCTAAAGCGAACCGGTTGTTATCATGCATGCTCAATGACTCGAAGGCACAAAGCTCCTGTTGAGTCTTATAGTTCTGAGACTCCTGGAGCAGCTTGAGCATGTCCAAAGTTTGACACCGATAGATAGACATTATAAGTCGCATTGCCTTCAGGTTCTGCAATGCCCTTGTCACCTCAGGGTCGTTTTGCCGAGTCGATTCCAAACACGAGGGAAACCGCGGTGATTGGCGGGTAATAAGCATTATTTATTCGATCCAGGTTATGTACAAAATAGAAAATTATAAATACTACATCATCATGTCGGTACATACACGCGTCCAGAAGCCCGTCGGTTGTCGTGCTCAGCCGATGCTGCACCGCATGCCTGGCTTCAAAATCAATTCAAACAAAATGAACCAACCGAAGACTACACGACTGCGAACGCACCAAGGACATCCCGAATAAACAAAAGCCATCGTTGCATTATCGATGACTAATAAAGAGATCACTGCCGAAGCTTAACACTGTACAAATCTGCGCCAGCCATTCGTAAAATAGACGGTCCAGCAGCCACAGCAGCCGCGGCTTCGAGAAGCGGCCGCGCTTCGCCTGCCGGCAGTCACCGCTGCGTACCTGATCCACAGCAGCCGCGGCTTCGCGAAGCGGCCGCGCTCCGCCTGCCGGCAGTCACCGCTGCGTACCTGATGCGGAGCGCCTGCCGCGCGTCGTCCGGCCCATCTGAGCCCGCCCGGCCCGCCACAGTCCTCTCCGCTGAGCCAAGCACAGCGCCGGACACCAAGCGACTAGAGGAAGCCGTGACCGCCGCGCTCGCCTGGCCCGGTCTCGGGTCGCGGCAGCGGCGTCCCTCGGGTCACGTGATCAGGGCGGCGGCCCGTTGGGCGGAAGCTTGGGCTTCCGGTGCCACAGCCGGGAGAAGACTGGAATGCCGGGGGCCCAGGTCTTCTTGGCAGCCGCCTGCGCGTACGGAGCCCCCGTTAGACGCCGCAGAGCAACAACATCCGATATATGAAGGGGTCTGTTCTGAAAACCCTCAAGTGTACAAAAACCTAATTTTGACACAAACACCATATCTTTAAACGTCTGCAAAGGCGGGCAAAACAGCACGCACAACGCCTCAGGCACTCACCACACGCAAAGTCCGTCAATAACTCTCAAATCCCGACACTAACGCCGCAAGAAGTACCCAGCGCGTACTGAGGGTTCGATGCTGCCCACCGCCAGTGCGACATCACACTGCACCCAGTCCGTCAGCTGAGCGCGAGCGCACCGACCTTGGCGGTGATCTCGGCCCGCAGGCTGTCGTGACCGTGCTGGCGCTCGCCGGGGCGAGAGTGGCGTGACAGCGAGTGCCGGCCGTCGGAGCCCGGCCGCGTGCCGGCCTTGTGCGCCGGCGACCCTGCCCGGCGGAGAGGGGGCGGGGGGGGGGGGGGGGAGAGTCAGCTGCGGCGGCTGAGGTCTCAGACTACACGGCAGCAGAGGCCATCACGGCAACCGGCACCGTCGCTCGCGAGTATACACAGCCAGCTACGGTACGAAGCCGTATTCAGGGTTGGCTCACCAGCGCCACAATGCCGTCATCGCACATACCATAGGTGACCACTGGGCCGCAGTGTCGCCACGTGCAAACGCGTCAGTGCGCAGCAGCAGCAAAACGCTAAACCGCAGCTATCTAGTCTAGGCAGCTGCCAGCCAGTGTCTATAGTAATGGGTGATCAACTCACCGGCCTGGACCTGGCCGTTCTTCTTGTTGAGGCGCGGCTCCTCCTCCGACTCCTGGCTCGACTCGAGGCTGGAGCACTCACTGGGCGGCAGTACGCTCTCGTAGCCGGAGCTTTCGGCCGCCTTCCGCTTCTTCTGGGACTTGCGCAGGCCGATGCCTGAGTCGTTGCCGCTGTCGTAGCCACTGGAGACGTTCGGCAGGAAGGCCGGCAGCGTCGTGTCGCAAGTGAAGTTATACTTCTCCCTCTTGATGCTGCGCGCCCAGTCGGGCTGCTCTTCGACGCAGCGCAGAGCCTTCTCGGCCCGCGCCGTCCGCGGCTGCACCAGCGAGGCGGACCGATCGAGGCGCGGCTTGGCCACATCGGCACCCGACGAGGCCGAGTCGCTGCGCGGCTTGCGCTCCTTCGATTTGCTCTTCCTCTCCTCGGTCGCCTTCTTCTCCGCCTTCTTGTCCTTTTTGAGGCCGCGCTCTGGGTAGCGCGGCGAGCAGATGGAGCCCGTCACCTCGGCGCTCACGTACCGGCCCTTGGCCAGCTTGGAGGGGCTGCGCGACACGCTCCGGCCCTTGCCGAACAGACGGCCCAGCTTGCTGCCCTTGGTCTTGACCGGGGAGAGCTGCTCGGCGCGCGAGCGCGGTCGACCCGCCACCTGCCTCTCGTCAAGCTCCTGCGGCACGGTTTCCGGCGGTGGGGCCGGGTCGACGCGGCCAGCCACCATCACCACCGCCTCCGTCAGGCCCTTCAGCTGGCGGGCGGCGCCACTCGACGTGTCCTCGTCCGAGCCCGAGGCGCCGTTGCCCGGGAGGCGCTCGTCAAGGTGCGCCGGTGGCGCCACCACTGGCGGCTGCGGCGGCGGCGGCAGGGACAGCTCCTCGTCCAGCACCAAGCTGGCGTGCTTGGAGAGGTTGGGGTTGGAGGCACCGTCCGGGTGGCGCAGCGACGAGAGGTTGGAGAAGGTCGGCAGGTACGGCGTGATGTCGCTCTGGATCTCGAAGTCGTCTCCCAGCTGGTCCAGCTCCTCGTTCTGTTTGCGCCGGCAGTTATCACAGATGTACTCTTCGGCTGCAGAGATTGGGCTGGGTCAGTCGTCGCGGGGATGACTAACAGGGAGGAGGAACAAGTACAACGAGCGGTAAAACTGGATATGTTCCATGGTGCGATATGTACCCGCATTATGTTTACTGGTGTTTGATACAAGTCCATGTCCGGGGCATCCAAATGCAACATGACGCGAATCAGTTTCTGAGCACTATTCGAATAAATCATAGACTTGCATCGCATCTAAGACTTCGTCTGGAGAAAAACTCATAAAAACCCAGTTTCAGACACGACCATGCAACAACGCCGACTGAGCACACAACAAACCTGATAACTGAGGGTTCATACACGCAGGACCAACGAGTCCGGCGCGACGCCATCGCCACCGAACCACCGCGCACCCGCGCCCACCTTCACTCTCCAGGTCCGGCAACAGCGCCAGCCAGTCCTTGATGCTCTTGACGTAGTTGCCGTGTCGCAGCGAGTCGGTTTTCTTGAGCGTCTTACAGTGCTGGCAGGCCACCGGCCTCACCGGCTCGCTGCACACGCTGTTGGTCTCGCTCCGGTCGCCACCGAACAACAGCTCAGAGATGAGCGGGGTCGGCTGCGGCGGCGGCGGCGGCTGCGACGCCAGGTCGCGGTAGAAGTCGTGCAGCCTGCGCGCGCGGGCCGGGTCAGGGCGGCGCGGCACCTCCGTGAGTCGCGCCCGGTTCGCTATCAGCTCCGGTCGTCAGTTGGGGAAGGCGCGCGGCGCCGATCGCTTTGCAAGCCCGGACCATCGTACACAGCGTGACAAGTGGGCTAGTCAGTCGGGTTGCTGTGACGATCTGAACAAATCATCGGAAATTTGAATAGGCCACGGCCAGTTCTGCTGCACTGATCTGCACCGAAACACTCGCAGCTCTTGAGCCCACTTGAACTGTTACGGCCCAGTGCTGGTCGCATCAGATCGCTGGTAAGCGCCCCGGTGAGTGTGTGATGTTCTCACCGACTGATGCCGTCCAGCCGCTGGTTGGTGAGGCTGAGGTCGTCGCACAGTTTGCCGTAGTCGGGGATCTCTAGCGTGCTGAGCGGGTTGGCGCCGAGCCCGGGCTCGTCGTACAGCGGCTCACAGTCCGAGCCGCCCCGCAGCGTGTACATGTCTGCCGGCCGCCGGGTCCGTGAGCCAAGGCAGGTCGAGACGCGCTCAGGCCGCCCTCAGCACACAAACAGTCCGTATATGCACTTTGGTGTATGTTGGTGGGGCTGTATTGCTTAAATTGGACCAGGTGAGCTCAATACAGCTTGTCTGATCTCCAAACCGGAATCGCAGTAGAAACACACCCGGCTGCCAGTGACAGACAGCACCGCATGAAAATGACTTCAGGGGCCCGTCGCCTTCCCCAGATCGCTTCGATCGGATCTGAGTGGCGTCATATAGGTGGGTCGGCTTTCAGCAGACTTACGAAAGGATACCGGTGCTGACCTGAGAAGCTCGAGGCGTAAGTCAGGTTCTCCTCACTCAGCGCCCGCAGCGGATGACCGTTCTCGTCCAGATCCGGCGGCGGCAGCAGCAGCGGCTTGGTGATGATGCCCATACAGCGAGCAATGTCCTCTTCCGTCACCTGACAGGGATACCGACATTGTCGCGTCTCAGGAACGGAGGGCGAAAGCTACGACCCATGCCTGCCATCAATGACCTGACATCTCGCGGAGACAGCTAGTATCACATACCGGAAACGTGCTAAAAATAACCACAGTAGACGGAACGATATTTAACCGCCAACACCTCGTGGAAGACTAAGTTTCTGCGAGAACGATTGTGTGCTTTGCTGTACGAATTCCCATAATGTAGGAGTTCGGACAAGCATAGTCTGAAGCGCAGGACATGTCAATATATACAATACAAGATATGGATGAACTACTACATGCACTAAAACTTTCCGAAAATCAGCTAGCAAGATCACAAAGACACGTTTAGCTCTGCGCGAACCACGCCGACTCTGAAAGTGTCCCATCTTCAGCCGCTGAGGCGAGCTACTTACCTGCAGGCACGAGTCGGTCATGGGCACCGGCTCGTCGCGCTCCTCCACTTCGATGATCTCGCCCCTGGCCACGTCCGAGCTGGACGAGCTCGAAGGCTGGCGGCCCGGCTCCGAGCAATCTTCCGCCAGACTGTCGGCGTCCTCTGGCGAGCGAACGGGCGGGTCAAGCGGCAACCGAGGTTGCGCGGGACGGCAGCCGTGGCTGCGTGGGGCAGCGGCTCTTAAGCCGCGACGGAGTGCGTAGGGGCGGACCTTATACTTCCGATGGTGAGGCAAAACAGCCTGAACAGATTTGGGGGAGGGAAACCAAGCCGTGATCTAAGAGCGTCGCTACTGAGAACGAAAACCATTTTTTGTTGCATAGCACCTATGGTTCGTTTTTTACGTTACCAGCCTTTACGCTAGCAAAAGAAGCATCATCGTAGCCTATGCCACAACAAGTAAAAGTCACTGACAGACTTCACTAATGCACCACTGAATCTCTGCGCAATGCATGCACGATCATCTCACCCGTATTCTGTGCCGCGTCGGCCATCTCCCTGCCCTCTGGCGGTGCGGAGCTCCTGCCATCTGGCGGCGACACTTTCCGGCCAGCCGGCGGCCGTTTGACGTCATTCTCCTGAGTCAGCACGTCCACCAGCTGCTCGCACTGAGCGCAAATCTCGTCCAGAGAGGGTGTGGCCTCAAGGCCGATGGACGGAGCCGGTGGCGTGACGTCGCTGGGTATCGGCGCGACCTTTGGCTTCTCCGCCGCCAGAGGGGGCGACGACTCCTTCTCCGCGGAAGAACCGCGCGTTTTCTGGGGAAGGGAAGGTGAAAAAACGTAAGTTGGAGCCATAGGCGGCGATATATATATATATATATATATATATATATATATATATATATATATATACTATAACTTACATAAGTCATCTACTAGTCATAGTTATGGAACATGGGCGCGTCAACTGCCTTGGTTATTCGCTTCCATTAAATTTGAACTAAATACTAAGCAAGATGAAAAACTTCTACGATAACCTCACGTCTTCTGCTCCGATAAGAGTGCATGCACAATCGCACATCCTTAAAAGCCTCTGACAACCATGGATGGATAATGAACATTGACAAATGCAGCTGGAGTCAGTGATCGAGGAAAGAAAACTCAAACAATCTCCAGTCAAACGGGAGCCACGATCGTCGGTCTCCTGCCGTGACGCGCATCGGACGCCGCGGCACTTGACTGACCGGTCTGGGCAGGGTGCTGGACGCCTCCGGGGAGCCCTTCCTGGCGGCGGCCGGCCGAGCGTGCCGCTCCGGCAGGGGGCTGCTCTCTCCGCTCGAGTCTTGCGTCTTGAACTGCGTCATGATCTTGGCCTCGACCGGCTCGTCGTCCTGCGTCTTGAATTGGGTCAGCTCCTTGTACTGACCGGCGCGGTGGGCGGTCTCTTCCGACTTGGTGCGCTTCTTGGTGGAGACGGCCTCGATCTGGTGCTCCACCCAGCGCGTGATCATCGACTTCTTGTGATCGTCCATGAAGCCGTAGCCCTGGATGGGCGGCGGCGCGGCGCGGCCGGCCGCCGGACGGCCCGTCTTCGGGATAGCCCCGGCCGCCGCCGCCGCCGCTGGCGTAAGAGACGCCGTTGCCGGCGCCCGGGCGCCTCCCGATGGGCCGTCGATCCACGTTTCCTGCCGGGTCTTGATCTTCTGCGCCTCGGCTATACGGGAGCGGGAAAAGCGTGGTCCGTCGATCCACTGTTCCTGAGGCGTCGCACCAGCCGGCGCTACCTTCTCGGGCCCAGCGGCGTGGCGCGCCTCGTGACCCTTCCGCTTCACCTGCGCGGCAGAGGTCACGGGTCAGCCGATGACGGTCAGGGGTCAGCCGCTCGAGGTCAAGGACCGGGTGGGGGCAGTATAACAGTAGATATTGGACGCCCTGAGTGATTCGTGGCGATCAAATGCAAAGGAAACAGCCTTTGTCGACAGTCAGAGGTGATTGGCATGCCCGACTGCCTTGTAAGAACCAATGCCCAGAAGCAAAATGTCCAGCAACTCCCTCAAGCATTCACTCCATCTAACCGGATTGCTGCTGGACTGGTAAAGCATGACCCCCGGCAAATGCGATCATTCGTATCACCTCACGGTAATCACGCCACGCACGCGCGCACCACCAGCCCCGACACCGAGCTCAGCGCTACTCGCCCACTCATTCATCTCAATGACGCGACAGGGGACCGTACACAGATGCCGCCAGGGACCGCGGCCAGCGCCAACACAAACACGCTAACCACAACCTCCGGCTGCCGGATGTGTCCCATGTGGCCCTTGGTTGCCCACGCGAGAAAGTGGTCTGTGTTCTCAGCAGAGCTCAAGGGCGTCACCATTGGACAAGGAAGCCTTGTCCACGAGTGCGACATGAGCTCAGAGTAACTCAGACCGCAGCACGCAACAGCTGGACGCCACAGCTGGAACGCCGGTGGGAACTCGCATCAACGCTGAGGCCCGTATCATGCAATGTCGAGAGACCGACTAGCGCGAGCGCTGGACACCGACCTGGGGGCTCTTGGGCACGGCGCCGGTCAGCTTGTCGAGGGTCCGGTGCTGCGGGGAGAAGGGCGCTGCTGCCGTCGCCGCCGGCCGGTGCGTCGGCGTCGATGAGCTGCTGTGAGTCCGCGCCGGACTCCGACACTTGCCCCCCTCCGCACTGGACCCCTTCAGTGCCTGCAGGTGGGAGAGAACCATGGTCGGGCAATGCACGGTGGGTCTACCGTGCGCTGCCACCGCCGTTTTCATCAATTTTCATCCAATAGTTTGCGTTCCTCTATTCCCATCTAATAGTTGCTCATGGCTGCCCGCCGTCGCCGCGCGCGCGCCGGGCGTACCTTGCTCATGGCGGCGCGGTTGTCGCTGGTCAGGCTGGGGATGTAGACGGGCGGGTGCTCGCCGTCGGTGCACTCGTCGGCGCCCGGGCCCAGGTAGATGACGGTGTCGGCCGACTGCTCGGAGCTGGACGGGTCGACGTCCGAGGAGGAGCGGCCCGACGACTCCTCGCCAGAGCTGCGCAGTCGCGCCTGCCGGTTCTCCTCGGCAGAGCCGCCCGAGCCGGACGAGCCGTGCGGCTGCAGACGCAGAGGTCAGGCGGAGGTCAGCCAGAGTCCAGGGAGACTCGGCAGGTCAGCAGAAGATTTCCAGGTTCACAAGAGGTCGGCAGGGGCCAGCGAGGGACAACAGGACAGCAAGAGGAAAGCAAATCAGCGGAAGGTCGTCAACAGGTCGGCAGGGATCATCATAAGTTGACAGGTCTTCGGGTCATGAAGGACAGCAGGGGCCAGGAAGAGGTTAGCAAATCAGCGGAAGGTCGTCAACAGGCCGGCAGGGATCGTCATAAGTTGACAGGTCTCCGGGTCACGAAGGACAGCAGGGGCCAGGAAGAGGTTAGCAAATCAGCGGAAGGTTGTCAAGAGGCCATCCACAAGTCAACTAGAGGCCAGCAGCAGGTCAGCACAAAATGAAGTAGGAGGTCAAGGGCAACCACCACGAGCTCAAACTAAGTCAGCATGGGTGAAGTACCCAAACATGATTGTCTTGCACGCGCTGCGCGTCAAACACAACAGCCGCCACCATAACAATAGACATCAACATAATGCATCTTGGCAGTAACCCAATCCAATATCAGGGCGACCGACCAGATGGCTTTATGAAAACGGACGTTTGACAATCGACCGCCCGTTCCATTGGGCAGCCCTGGGGAGCCTGGGTTTTAGCATACGAGGAGCTCCACGGAATGGGCGAAAAAGCCATTTCGATTTATTCTTCATAAAACGGATGAACAGATAGAACTGAACGTGCATTGAGCTCTGACTTTCATGGTTATGAATCGAAGGCACTTCGATGATCGAACACGAAGACCCGTGATCGACAGCAGCTATCGTGTTCCCCATTGTCGTTACAATCCATCAAAATCCCCATTCTCTTTCGGATCGAATTCCCAATGGGCGTGTGCAGGAAACAAAGCCCACATTTACTTCCAAAGCTCGCAAATCCCCCTAAATCCCTCTTTAACCACACAATTCCTCCGGGCAGGGAGCGGACAACACGAGGGTCGGCTCTCCTTCCCTGCAGCCCCCCACGGGCGTCCCCAGGGGCCCTGCCCCGAACGTCCGCGAAGATGCGCGGTCGCACGCCGACCGTCGTACCTTGATGCGCCGCCGTCGCATTCTGTGTATTCTGCTGGCCAGCTGAACGGTGGTGAGCGTCTCGGCGTAGAGCGCCGCGTCCGTGCTCACGTGCGCCACAATCGTCGTCTGGCAGGTCAGGGACCCCATCGCCTCACGAAACAGGTGCACCAGCTTGCTGTCTCTGTCATGGGCGGGGGCAACCACGGGTCAGCGCGGCGAGGATGACACGAGGTTAATGCAACACACATGTATATATATATATATATATATATATATATATATATATATATATAAACATGTAAGGTGCAAAGGATCTGCGCACACAAGGAATGTTGTAGTTGTGATGCACGAAAATATTTTTCGATCTCGATGTCAATCATCTGGTTTTTTTTCCAAAGGTCAATAACCAAACGAAAAATGTAACCGTGAGAGACGCTGAATAGCAATTTTAAAACGGATGTCGACATGTATTTTGACCAGAGGTCTTTGGACGAGCCCGGCCAGTAAGCACAAGCAGCCAAGGGTGAGCAGGCCGGGGCCCTGGCTTCAGTGCACCACTGCACACAGCCTGGACCCGATCCGCCGCCAGGTCAGCCATGCTGCCTGCGTCGGCAGCGTCCGCCGTGACCGATGACCGGTGGTCTGACCGAGCTCTCAAGCCGGTGGAGTCGCATCACCTTCCCGCGTGAAAAATGGAAAATGAAACACACAAATCACGCGGCTGGATTTGGACGGTCATTCCGCATTCCGGCCGGCGGCGGAGTCGACGGGCGGACATTCCGCGCGGACGGACGTCCCTCAATAAGACGTCGTTATCGGCTGATACCGGCGCGCGGACGAGGTGGAGAGACGCCGTCCAAACGTCGTGGTCGTGACGGATCGTTCTCATAGCGCCAGCATTAGCGACGGAATAGGGTTTGAGGCGGCTGACCAATCACAATGGCTCCGCCGAATGGCGCCATCAGCCGGGCGTGTGATCCGGGCGGGCCGACATGAGGCCGTCGGACCGCGCGACCGAGCTGGTGCGTAACTGCGGTCCGCGCCCTGCTACTTCACGTCCGCATCACATTAGGAGCAGTGCGACCGTCCCATTAACTCTGGCTGGCGTTCAGGGTCTTCACCACACCAATGCTACACATATAGGGGCCTGCACGAGGTCAACTGGACCGACCTGCAGGGCAGGTGTTTGTGGGCGTTGAAGATGGAGACGATGACGTTGCCCACGGCGGACAGGGTGAGACCGGACACCTTGGTCTTCTCGAAGCCGCCCAGGTCGAACAGGTGGAGGCGGCTCCTCCCGCCCGTCACTGAAAAACGCAGCGGGTTTACGGCCTCGCACACGAGAGCACGGCGAGGCACGCATTGCTGTGCTCCTGTGCTCAGGAGGCCGAGCGTCGAACCATGGACCAATGGGCCAGAAGTTCGATGCGCCAGCAGTAAGACCAGCAGAGCTGGCCTTGACGACAGAGATGCCATACACAGTTATTCTACCAACAGGGACACCCTCACAACAAAAGCCATGAGCGGAAGGGCAGTCGCTACCCAAATTTATCTTAAAATATACGTTTTATTCCTGGGGATGACTTGCCCGTGTCCGGATACGGGTGAACAAACAAGTGCAGCTTCGAGCAAGATTCTTAGGAGACGTTTTCCCAAAAGCCTAGCCCATGGTGTAGGACGACCCGGACAGACACGCCTACCCAAGCCTCGCAGCGTTCCCCACGGCGGCCGCGTGCCGCTCACCTCCGCTGCTCTTGTCCGACTTGACGCTGTACTGGAACACGTGCAGGGTGTAGAGAAGGTGGGAGCTGCGGCCGCCGTCCTCGGAGGCGGCGCGCGCCGCCGCCGCGCTGTCCAAATAGAGCGCCGCCTTCTCGGCCGTCTCGGCCCTGATTTCAGACTGGTTGAGCAGCTGGCTGCCGAGCACCGGATCCTCGCGCAGGTACACGCCCGGAGACTGGTCCGAGTCTGCCCAGAGGGGGACAGTTACAGAGGGTACACGCCCGGAGTCTGGTCCGAGTCTGCCGAGAGGGAGACAGTTACAGAAGAGACACGCCCGGAGACTGGTCCGAGTCTGCCGTGAGGGGGTGGGAGGGGGGAAGGGGGAGGGAGACAGTTACAGAAGGGACACACTTGGACGCTGGCCCGAGTCTGGCGGGCGACGGAGCAGTTCCATAAGGGGTTCAGTTCGATGCTGCTCCGAGTCTGGCGGGCGACGGAGCAGTTCCAGAAGGGGTTCAGTTCGATGTTGCTCCGAGTCTGGCGGGCGACGGAGCAGTTCCAGAAGGGGTTCAGTTCGATGCTGCTCCGAGTCTGGCGGGCGGGGGAGCAGGTACAGAAGGGGTACAGTTCGATGCTGGTTCGAGCCTGGCAGGCGGGGGAGCAGGTACGGCAGACGTGAGGGTCAGGTGGTCCGTGCGTGACCTGACCGAGGGTTGGAGCAGCCGCACGATGGGGATACCCCAAGCAGTCCTCGCAGGGGCACATCGGTCTTAACACATGGAGTGCAAAGAGCGACTGACAGAGTTTGAGGTTGGGCGAGGTCAAGTGGAACACATTCCGTGCCGGGCCCAGAGAGCACTGATGAAGCCCCAAGACGTCTCACGGGAGCTTGGGATAGGAAACACCGGCGCTGATCCCAGCTGACCCTGATCTTTGGCGTGGTCCTTGAGCAGGTCCTGACCTTTGGCGTGGTCCTTGAGCAGGTCGCGCAGGTTCTCGGCGGCGCCGGCGATCTGCACGGCCGAGACGCGCACCGAGAAGCGGGCGCCGCTCTTCTGCTTCTGCTCGCCGATGCCGCGGTACAGCCACGAGATGGCGCACGGGATGATACCCAGCTGATCGGCCGAGCCGCTGCCGCCCAGCATCGTGGTCGTCTTGCCTGCGCGGTGGAGGCGTGTCACGCTGGATACACGTCAGCGTACGTGACGCGTGACAGCGGTTACACGTGGCGGGCGGAAACGTGCCAAGCTGCATGATGTGGATGGTTGTGCTGCGCAAACAGCGGAATGCTGGCAGCGATGTTACGAGGTCAAGGACATGAAGTTACGGGGTTCAAAGCTATGTGAGAAAGGTTAGGAGGTACACGAATGTTTGCAGAACTGCTTCGGGTGCGGCGCATTGCATGCAATCAACGCGAGGGGTTCTCAGTACAGCAACATATTGTTGCCATGAGCAGATGGCAATGTTCCGAGTGCACGAGACCGTTCAAGTACACATGCAAACAGGATTCGGCCAGATGCCGCGCTGGAGGGCACCGGCCCGTCGGTGGGAAGACATCCCGTCGCGGTGCTATCTGCTGACCCCTTGTTCCGCGCCGCGCCGGCGGACGGCGCGCACCGGGAGTGACTGACTGGAGCCGCGCGACTGTCATGCGACAGTTAGGCGACAAACGAGCCCATCACTCGCCGGGCTAGCGCGGTATGCCGACCGTAAACAGCGGGGCCGGCCTGCGGTCTCGCGGACAGCGCCAACTGACCGCGCCGACGCCGACCGACGGCGGCTACACACGCCCCGCCGGAGTCGGCGCCCGACGGCCGGTCAGAGGGCGACGGCGCTGCAGTATGATGGACGGGACGCGCGCCGGCGCCGGCTGACATGCACCACGGCCGCCGACTGACGCCTCTTTGAGCCGCCGTCGCTGCGGCTTCAGGTTTCCGTAGCTCCGGCGCCGCGGCCGCCCGATCAAAGCGCGTCACCCATTTCGCTGACGTCATCAGCCGACGCGGCGGTGGCTGAGGTCGCCCGAGGCCCGACGGACGCCGCGCGGGGCTGACCTCGGCCGTTAAACGCCGGCCGCCGATCGCCCAGGCTCGGCGGCCGACGCTCCCACTTGTGATGTGTCAGACGGAGCCGCGTCCCGCCGCGACAGCCAGCTAAAGGGCGGCCTCACTGGCCATGGTTTATGCATTAGCGCGATCCTGGAGCTGCAGTGACGAGCCGACCGACGTCGAATGGGCGTCCCGAGTGGCGCGCGTCGCTCGTGCGCTGCAATTGTCTATGCCGCGCGGAGCCATGTCACGCGCAGCTTCAGGGCCGGGTGTTCCTCGAATCAAGCGGCGACGCGACCGGCCGTGGATCGCGAATTAGTGGCCTGGTGCTCGTTCTCAGGAGGCCGGTCGGAGCTTGGCCCCAGGCTGACGCACGCGGCGGGAGCGTCAAGAAGGCGTGATGGAAAGGCTGTGCAGACTTGGCATGGTGCGAATATTATGGACACAAGTGCTTAGCAGGTGATAATGTTCGCCTAAGACGTGTATATAAAACTATCATACGCATGGCAGCCCAGTTCAGCTGCAGCCCTTACAAACGTGATCGGTTGAGACATTGCTCTGCAACCGAACTGGAGTTCAACCAAAATTGGCCCAAATCACATGAAATGAGCTCACAAGTGCATTATGGACATATACATTACGGGTAGGCATGGTCCACGCACCACTTTCACGATCTACCAAAGTAGACTGCACCACACACGGGCGGAGAGGGCTTGAAGAATGCGGCGTGCGAGGGCTGCTGGAGTGAGCATCTTCCAATAACAAGATATCATACCTACGATAGTTTCTATCAATTTTGGTGTGGTAGCTGCCATATGCGCCACACCGCAGCTTCTGCCCCTGCGCGACAATGTAATACGACGGAAGAATTACACGGCATATTAACCGGGCAGAGCTGAGGACTTAAACATCACAACCTGACGCGCAATATCATTTTGTCCGCACCACAGCCTGACAGGGCGGAGACCTGGCTCGTACGATAGCATACCGAATCTCACTCGTAAGCGCGCAGTGTTTCACGCGTGGTGAAAAGGCTCCTGCCACCTCGCATCGAGGGGAGAGCGCGTCGGCACGCCACCGAGCGGCCGGCGCTGTCAGCAGCACGTCCGGCGGTACCCGCCTCTCTCCGCCGGCGACCCAGCCCGCCGAGCGGTATAAATACCGGCCAAGCCGACTCTGTTGACAATAAACGTCTCAATGGGGCATATTTACGAGGCCGCGGCCCCCCGCCGGGCATGTCGCATGGAGCGCGCGTAAACTTAGTGGCCGCCGCTCAGATAAGGCGCGAGAGTTACGGGGCGCCGGCTGCGCCGCCCGCTGCCGGGCCGCGTCGGTTCCGACGCCAGGCGTCGTCGATGTCGACGGTAAGGTGGGCCGCCGCCGCCGTCGTCGACCTCAATTAACGGGACATCGGCGAACGGTAACGGCGGCGTCGAGGCCGTTGGCAGCGCGGCAACTGCATAGATAAGGCCGTGGAGCCGAGTTATTGGGCAAAACACGAGCCGCCGCACCGCTCCGTTCTAAATTCACAGATATCGCGAGGTGGTGGAGAGTGGCAGGGCAGAGCGAGCGCCTGTCGTCTTCGGCTTTGGATGCCAGGCGCGGGGAGGAGGCTGCCATTCCTGGCGGTGGTGATCGTCTTGTAAATGTCAGAGGATACGCTGCTGACGGGCGCCGGCCAGCCTAACCGTGTATATTTATCTCGACCGACAGGTAGCGTGCCGCTCCCGGCCGCCCCCAGCGGGGCCAGATACGCCAGGCTGCGTTATGTTCAACTACTGGCAAAGGTCATGACCCCCGCCGGAGCCGAGCGTCACCGTTACGCGCGGAGATAAGCGTCAGTAGCAGATGGTGGGTGTCGCGGGCGGCAGCGGCAGCAGACGTTAACAGAACCCGACAGCCCGTACAGGCCGCGCCCGGTTCCAGGAACACGCCGACACTTATGACCATTTTGTAAGTGATAACTGACATTTGTTCGCCGTGCTGTAAGTGGTTTGGTGCCGACACCGGAACCTGCCCACAGCGGCGGAAGCGATAAACAGGGGCGGCATTTTACGTCGCTGGCAACGCGGCGCAGGCAATTTGCGCACCAACCGTGGTCAAACACCGCACCCTAATGGTCGTCGTCAGTCAGGCTCGCCATACTGCCGGTAACGTGGGTGTCTTCCGCGCCAGGGCTCCACCATGGCATCCATGTCAGGCTTTTCGAACACTTATGAACGACTAGTTCATACAACATTTATATTCAGATTCCATTTCTTAATGTATGTACTGAACCTTTAATCACATCGCGTTCAATTTTCAACAGACCCTCTTACCTCTCACATCCGTTTCTGCACGCAGGCGTCTCCCAGCTCTCACACCTGTACTGCCATGGCCATTAATCAGGTCCCACGCCGGCTCTGTAATGGGCGCCTCTCAGGCCTAATGACACCTACCGGTGGGACCCGGGGGAGGTGCATGGGGCCCTCCCAGGTCCCGCAGCCCTCTCAAACCCAAGCCCACATTCTCCAGCGGCCCGGGCATCTATTTTGATCCCACGCCGCTCCTGGCACGGCTGTCTCCCGTCTGCGGGTCTCAGGTCCTACAACCGCCACCACCATGGGCGTCTCCTGCCGACACGGACCAGCCCGCCGCGCCGTCATGATAAGAGATTGGACACCCGCCGGAGCCGGAGCCTGGTCCGTGTCCGCGCCGGCGGCCGAGGCACGTGTCGGCGGCGGTCCCGCAGGGCGAGGGACGGCCGGCCGCCCGGCCCAGCCGACACCGCCGGCCGCGCCGGTACCGGCACCGGCTGAATGTTTTATACAAAGTGCCGCCGCCGCCCGGATTACGGGCGCCGGCGTGGGCCGGTGTTCGCCAGCGTCGGGCACGCTGAAACGGGAGATTAATGGATCGCGCGGAACCTCTACCGCCGCCCAGCGACTGCCTGCTCACGGACGTTTCAGATGCAGACGCAGATGACATGATTCGGACGAAGTAATCATATCACGGAACATTTTAGAGCAGAAGTAGGGCAGGGTGAAGCCCGTTATGCAATTTCTTAGAAAGCGTATTGGGAAGTAAGCCCTGGCAGCATACCTTGAGCTCAAGACTCAATTCCCTGAAAGCATGAGCTTCAGCGTGGCCGACGCTTTCCACAAAGCTGGCCGGACAGCTGCTCAAAAGCGAGCGGCCGCCGCCAAATGGGCCGATTTCCCGCCTCGCGCGGCGACGGCGCCGTTCTCGGCGGCCCGCCACCGGCTCCCATCTGAGCCCGGTCGGGCGGCAGCGGAGCTAATCAGTCCTGGCGACACCCGCCCGGGCCTGCCGCAGCCCGGAATCGACCCCGCCCGCGCGCTGTCACCCCGCCGGCGAACTTTATGAGCGATTAGCACGGCGGTCGGGTCAAGGGACGGCCGGCGAGAGCGTCGCGGGCCCCGCGGGCAGCTGCGCGGCTCGAACGGCCGGCACCTGGTGTGCCCACCGATGACAATCGATGGCGAACGCGAGGATCGCGAGACGCTGAGCGTCGCCACTGCGGCGGACCAGACGCGGGCGGCGGGCCAGCAGAACTAACCGAAGCAGGCACGCACGCGTCACAGCGTCGGCAACAAACTGCATTATTGAAGACCGGCCGACGCCGGCGCGCAAAGAAGCGCAGCTTGGAAGCGGGGTCGCCCGCCGACACGCGAAGAAGTGCAGCTGAGGAGTGAGATGAGCACGTGGGTAATAAGAGTCGCCCGCGCCGCGACGGCCGCAGCAGCGGCTCCTGGTCAGAAGTCGGGGTCGCGTTTCGTCCCACGCCACGCGCGGAAGTGAGCGAGACATGCAACTGTGCTCTGGGACACCACGCCGCCCCGTCGCCAGCAGAACTAAAGGAGCCACGCAAACGCGAACCGGCACTTGGTGTCGCCCACACGCCACCGCAGAAGTGTGCGGAACATGCAGATGGAGCCCCGAGCGCCGGCTCCGTCCACCGACACGCGGCCCGGAGAGGACAAAGACCCGCGCGCCCGCCAACGGTGACATGCGACCCCGGAGCGCGTGACTTAGGCCGCCGCGGACCACCATCGCAGCCGACTTCCGGGGCCGGCCGACTGCTTCCGACGTGCGCCAGGTTCGGGCGGAATGGCAATAGATCGGGACGATTGGGCGGCGGGCGGCCGCGTGCGCTCTCGGCCCATCCCGGGTGATCGACCCCGGAGGACAAGACTCGTGCCAGCCTGAATCATTTAGCCGGCTGGCCGACAGAGAAAGGACGCGTCTTGGGAAGCGCCGGCTGGCCGACAGAGAAAGGACGCGTCTTGGGAAGCGCCGGATGGCCGCGGGTGCCGCATTATACTGCAAGGAGGTCAGGGGTCGTGTCTGGCGCAAATAGCCGCTGATACAAGAGCAGTTAGCAGCACGAAATGACTGTGTGTGGTGTGTGGGATGTGATTGTTGACAAATCCTCACCTGTTTTGGACTGGCCAAGGCAGAGGACACAACCGTCGTTGCCGTTTATAACGGCGTGAACAACGTCCACCAAGGCACTCGTGCTGATCTCAGTCTGGAAGAGAAAATCACACAGGTTATTTGTCATTCAACCCGTCCAGGCTGCAGACAGGTAAGAGTTTTACCATCGACGAGCCTTGTGCTCCCTGGCAGTTGTTGTGTTTAACGCCCTGCGAAAATGATTTCTTCACTTCCAGCAAAACACCTAACGTGTAGCTGTTTTTCCAAACGAGATAGCAGCTCGCCCAGGTTGTTAACGCAGGTACGATTACGCCAATCCTAGCAAACTCGCAACTCGCACAAGGCGCAATCCCATCGCAATCTTGGCTGAATAAAACACAATTTTCCCGGCGCGAAATGGACCCGCGCGGCATGACGAGCCACGAGCTATTTCCGCCGGCTGGAGAGGCGCGACATCTGCATCGGCCCGGGAAATAATGAGGCAGCCGGTGGCGACGGGACCGACGTGATGCTGCGGCCCGGCTCCGAGCACGTGCCGACCACGGAGAGGGCGCCCGTACGCCGGGGTCAGCCCAGCTCTGGTGAAGCCAGGCACGCTTGGAGCCAGGACACGGACTGCCGCTGCCGAGTACAGGGTGGTTTGGTGCGGTTTAGCCGCCGAGGCGGCGCGCGTGGCTGGTGCGAGGTGTGCCGCTCTGGCCGACCGCTCCATGACACCCCGAAGAAACATAGTCAAGGTGGGGCTGGGACGAATCGCGGCCAGCACGCGCTTTAATAGTTTCATCTGAATTTAATTCGAAAAGTTGAGATTTACGATTTTTAATTCGCCGGGATTTGGGCATAACTCAAACGGTGTCATCGCGCCGGGATAAACTTGGCGAATAATTCAGGCGCGCGGCCGCCGCTCTCTCCCGGTTACACGCCGCGCCCGTGCGAGCAGACCGGGACCATGGCGAGCAGCGACGGCGGCGCGTCGCGCGTGCCGGAAGCCGCCACGATCGCCGCTGCGAACGGCCGAATTATCGGCCCGCGTGATCGGACTGCCAACCGGCAGAGTGGCCAACTCGATCAGACAAACTCGGCTCCGTGGGGTAGACAAACTCGGCTCCGTTGGGCGCGCCCAACGAAGCGGCCGCTTTTTTGGACGGCCGGCCGGGGACGGGGGACGGGGACGGGGGACGGGGGACGGGAGGACGGACGTGGCCGGGGTGCCTGGCGGTCTCCGCGGCCGGCCTGGGTCTCGGCAACGCCCAGCCTCGGGGCAATGCGTGTCGCTGAGCTGGCTTACGTTGGGGCACCGGCGAGCGCAGCTGCGGTGCCCCGAGGTCCCCCGCGTCCAATCCCGCGGCACGACGGTAAACCAAACAGACGATGCGTGCTACGCCGGTGGGCCGATGCAAATAATGGCGCCGCCTAAGACAATGAGGTCGGGCATTGTCCGTCTGCAGGACGTCATTAATAACGCACGCGATGAGCCGGCACGGTGACCAGAGACCGCACACCACGCGGGACAAAACCCAGAGGGCTGATGTGCGAACGACGCACAATTAGGGGTCCTTGGCGGGTTCAACGCTGAACCCGATTGCTGTCGCACTTAAACGACACAAATCGGCCGGTCCATCTTTGGGATTTGTTCGGGTCGGCAGAAACCGGACGCTCACTTATCGCGACTTACTGCCCGCTTACCATTTTATGGCGAGCTTTGTGGACAAATGGCGTCGGAAGTCCCGATGTGATTGGACGGATGCCGCAATCTGATGGAGGCCATATGTCTCGCTAAGCGGGCGCGACACCACGCCAGAATGCCAGGCGCCAGAGGTTGCCGTCGTCGCGCTCAGCCCGGGTCGGGGTGGAGCCCACCAATATCGCTTAACACGTCTGAAGGGCTCACGTCCAGACAAAGTCCCAAACAAATTTGTCTTCCGAACCGAAGACGCCGCGGGACATATTATGAGCGGGCCACAATACAGCCGCCATCGGCAGCGTTGTGGCGGAGAGGAGCGCAGTTTGTCAGGGTTGCGCCTTTTTAATTAAGCCACCGCCTATCCATCACCCACAGGGGCTGTTCTGAGCACGGAAAAATAGCTTGCCGAAGTAAGTTGACGTCTCGGGTGAGCCCATTGGAATTTCTCATGGGGCTGCGCCCTGATGGGGCTAAAATTCGAAGAGGCTGGTACCGCTGTCCCCGGGGGCACGCGGAGCGAGTTCGGCCGACAAACACGGCTCGACTTTCCCTGCCGCAGCGGCGCGTCCGCACGAGCGGCGACGAACGCGGCGCGGCGAGAGGCGACAGCAAAAAGGCCGGCCTGGGCAGACTTGAGAGACGTCTTGATGGCGGAAGAAGTTGATGCAGATTCATCACACAGACCCACCCTGCCGAAGGAATTTTGAAGAATGCGGATAAATGTCAATACCGCGGCTTGACGGACACAGTATGAGCCGCGTATGACATCCGCCAGCAGGATGCGGACATTGAGCATTCCTTGCTGGAAACGTCATCTTGGACCTGATATTAAATCACGTTTCGGGCCCAGCACTGGATCCAAGCCCGAAGGCCACACCACCGGCCGGCCAGAGCAGAACTGACCTGGGGGTCGTCGCAGTCGTACACCCCGTCGAAGGCGAACATCTTGGGGGCGGCCACGCCCAGTCGGCGGCTCTCAGGCGCGACGGTGCCGGCGGCCGCCGACGGGTCGACCAGGGTCACCTGCTTGCGGCGCGGGTCGACGCTGAAGTGGGACGACGGCTGCGCCTGGCGCACGCGCAACAGCACCCGCACCTGCGGAGAACAAGGTCGTGACAGGCGTGTGAGGAGTTCGCTGTGCTGTGAGGTTCTCCAACGGTGTAGTCCCGTCGCAGGCCGCAGCCCGCAATGTTGCAACAAGGGGAGCGCAACGAAGCGTTAGATAACACAGATCGCGTTATCTTAAACACGTAATGTACAAAATATCTAGCGCAGGTCCACAACCCTGGGCAGAACAATTTGTTCTGGGCCCATCCAGAGACTCATAACCCTGTAAACTCTCCACCCCGGATCTAAAGGTCAAACAAATCATAAACGTTATTAATAGCGTACGTCCAGTCACCCAGCTAAGTGTAGATCCATTTTAATCTATTCGATACGTTTGACCAACAAGCAGTGCTTCTGCAAATAACGGCTGGTTATTCAAGAGCAAATCGTTTGGGCAAACGAATTGCCTATTTGCTACCAAGTCTCATGATGCATCACACATATCCAGAGATTGCATGATGCCGCCGGGAAGTGGGACTTTGCTCTCACTTCAACATCACATCCAATTAACTTTGAGTTTTGGTGTGCCCGTGATCTGTCTCACTTAGACCTTTTTGTACCACGGTAAATCTTGATGGATGCCCCTAACAAAGCCAGCGAGTTTTCTGAGCCCGGTCTCGCCAAGATTCGAGACAACCGATTCATTCGTTTGTCCGCCGGAGAGCCAAAACAAGGGCAGCATTCCGTCATTGATTCGCGGCAAATCCATGCCCCTATAGCGACGCACACAACAGCGGAAAAACAGGCTTAAGCATTGACGTGACAATGCTGGCCATCGGTGACATTACCATTTTATCGATTAAATCTGTTCAACTAGACGATTTAAATGCATTCATGCTCTGAAGATTGGCGAGAGCGCCTCTCCGACGCTACGCGCCTCGATTCCGACGCAAACGCGCCAAGTCCGCTGTGTTATCTGGAGGCGGATTCGAGCATGCAAGACGCACGCTGAATCAGTAATCAGGAGAAAAAAATCGACCGGAGGTGGCGCTTCACTGAAACCAGGCGCTGAATCAGCCTCGTAACCGCCACGAGAGACGAGCGTTGCTCAGAACGCTGACCATGAAAATTCGGAACCGTTCGCCGGAAGGCAGGCACATGTCAAACTCCAAGTTATCTGACCGACTTTGACGTCTGGCCCACGCTGTGACGCAGGCCTGAATGCATGTTTGCGACTGCGACGGGCTATGACGCCGCCGAAACGTCCGGCCGCTCATGCTGGCCCGCCATTCTGACAACTGAAAGAGAACTTGTCCCCGAACTTTGGGCCGGCAGTGCGACCGCTCGGCGAGTCAGAACGACCGGGGCCGTCGCTGGCGGGGCCGCTGGTCCGTGACGCGACGCCGGCCAGGCGACCGCGCCGCTGAGCAGCGCCGACCGGCCCCGGACCAGCGCGGCACGCCGGCGAGAACAGCCCGCTACAGCCGCCGCCATACGGCCCGGCATCAATGGCATCTGCCTCTTCAATTTGACGCATTTCGATATTTTACGAGTGCCTTTTATTGTTTTCATTTTCGCGGCGCCGCGCGCGACCCTTCTGCGCGCTAAATCATTCACAGCTCGGATTCCGAACGGTTCCTTGGGACTCGTTGCCGATAAATCTGAAAGACTCGGGTGATCCGTCGTGAGGTGGCGTTGCTGCGCGCCTCATCAGAGCTCGCCTTCCGGCCGACATCGCCCGAGCTTTCCCCGTGCTCCTCGTGAGGTGGCGTTGCCGCGCGCCTCATCAGAGTTCGCCTTCCGGCCAACATCGCCGGAGCTTTCCCCGCGCTCCTCCGATTGCAACAACGCTGATTCCGAAGTTCATAAAAACACTTCAACAATATGGTGAAGCTGTGGGTAATTGGAAGAGGTCGGCGGGACGTCCAATTATTGCGAGAGACGAGCGAGATAAGGGCACGTCGTCTTCAATTAGACCCGATCAATGCGATGGGATTACGGAGTCTCTGGCGGCGGATGCAAAAATGGCTCTGGAAGTCAAGACGGTTCAGCAACGCTGCCGGTCCAGGCCGACGGACCAGGTCCGTAGAATGGCGGATGGTGGTATAATTGGCACAAACAAAAGCCATCGGTACTATTTCACCTGCGGGTTCAGAAGGAAGTTTAAAAGAAATTGAATAGGTCTTACGAAAATTTGCAGTTCATACCTCATTTAAGTTAAAAGACGTATTTCGAAGTATACCTGACGCAAGAAGTACAGTGTGAGCCCAGCATTGCGTTAACGTTCAAAATTACCAGCTGCTCGTGTTTTACGGCAGGCTCATCTTAAGAATGGGACCAAGACAAAGGAAATTACATCCCATTATCACCCAGCACAGCCATATGCGGTAAAAAGCAAACTCGACCCAGTGGCTTAGTGGGGAGCCGGCTAATGCTTTTCTTCCATCTGCTGCTCGCACCACAATCATCTGGCAGCCCTACTTTGGCAGCCAAAGCCCGCCGGCAATTACCCCGGTAGCCAATCGGTGCGCTGCCAGGTCCGCGCTGCGGAAAAACGAACCGGACCGGCGCCGTTTTTTCGTCTGGCGCGGGCCGAACTCGGCGTCTGGTATAATCAAATTAGCCGGCCGTTACAGAGAACTTCCATTGCGGCGCGCAGCGACGGCCCAGTCCGCCAGAGGGGCCAGGTGAGAGTGGGGGATGGCACGGCTGAGGATCAGAACAGCCAGGCGGGGCGTGGTTTCCGTGGTGTCTGGACACACCGGGGAAACGTGAAGCTTAGCCCAAGGCGATTGTGCAAAACAAGCTATCCCATGCAATGTTTTGGTTTCTATGAGGTTGTATGCATAACAGAACATGAAGAAAACGTACATTTTGTGTTGGAGCAATTAGTAAAAACACGCCCCAACTCAGAAATGAAATAGCATGAGTGAAACGAATAATATCGTAAAGCGACTATTAGCATGGCTGAAATCAGTTCCAAGTATCACAACGTTACCAATGTGCGATTCACTACCAAATGCCACAACAGACAGCTCCTGCCAGAGCGGGCGACGACATCGCTGCCAGGTCTCGCCCCGGCCACTCCGGGACCGGCCGGCCGGGGCCGCCGTGGCGCCACCTGCGACGGGCGGCGGCACCGGTACCGGCCAAACACGGCCGCCCCCTCGCCGATCCGTCAGGCGGCCGTTTCATAAGGCACGCGGCGGCCAGCTGGCGCCGGCAATCGGCCATATCTCACGACCTGTATATGTAGTTTTATCATCGGCAATCATACACATCTGCCGCCACGCGTAATTCATTTCGAAACTTGTCGAAGCCGACGCCGCGTGGTCGTCGCCATAGACGGCGCGGCCGGCGACGGAAAGCCGACGCGGCCGGGCGGGGGCGGCAGGCGGGAGCGCAGGAACGGCGGCGGGGGAGGCCTCCCCGATACACATCGAGATCGATGTCTCCCGCCATGATTACATTATGAGATTACGGGATGAAGGTGGCTGCCTTCGCTGCGCCCGGTATATGTGGCTGGAGTATTACTGCTGCCACGCTGGCCGTATGTGGCCTTATCCTCTTCCGCTGGGAGTCAATGCTATTGTCCGGCGCGGTAATGTCGTTATGTGACGGGCACGGGTGAGGAAGCAAGGGGTGCGGAACGGCTGAGGTGCTGACCGTGAGATGTATCTATGCTCTGATCATACCGTAGCAGGCGCGCGCCCCCACGCACCCACACCCACCCACACACCCACACCCACGCCCACACAAAATATTTCATTCCAGGTCATTCACCAGCCGAAGCAGTACAAGGCAATGCATAACATGAAACGTAGCGCTCAAAAGAGAACCATCAACCATTGCCAGGCTAACCACGCGAAAAAGCAAATCACTTTTAAGACTGCCAGCGAATGGTCACGCAACCTCACTACCGCGGCGACAACGCACATGCGACATGAGGCTAACTGCTCAGCTTCACGCTGCAGGGGCTACAGAGCCCCCCCCCCCCGCCCTCCCTGTCCACGTGCCGACCTCGGCGCGCGACAGGCTATGACTACAACGGCCTGATTAGGTGCGCCGGTCCCAGCTGGGTTTGGGTTTCAATCCGTCTTTGATTACAGCCACCGAGTCACGGCCAGAAGAGGGCGCGCGTGCGTCGCCGAGGGTCGCCGTGCCCCGGCAGCCCCAGGGGACGGCGCAGGGCCAGCCGCCCAGCGCTCATTAGTCCCCCGCCGGAACGTGAGGCCGCCTCCATTAGAGGCCGAGTGTCTCCAGACAGAGGCGGCAGCGGCCGGCGGCGGTGCCGACAGGGGCACTCGTGCTGCGAGGTGCCTCCTCAGACGGCTGAGGACGTGCACGGTCCCGGTGCTCAACGGCCGGCGCCCTCAGACGCTGGCAACGCGAGGGCTCAGTACAGCGCCGCAGCTCGGGCGCAGCGCGCAGGCGAGTGCACTTCATGTGACGTGTACAGCTCGCGACGGTACTGCGACTCATTCAGGCGAAGCAGCTGCAGAAAGGCATACATATTCCATTCACTGAGGCGAGTTGACTGCATGGAGCAGACTTGAAAAGTTCCTCCAGCATTTCTTGGCACAATAGGACGGAGGGCGGTAAATAGTTGAGGATCAAGCTGTCTTATTTCGATATGTACAGAACATTCAAATGACTGGCCCGCATGACTCACTTGACACGACCCCACCATTTTTGATGGATCCAGCTTTTAGGTATCATCGACAATAATAATATAATATTATCAGATATAACCTAAACCTCATACCTACACACCATGACCCTAGAGCTACCTGATGGTTGACGTAAAAACCTCCAACACAACCAAACACATAACCGCACCATCTCTGTTCTCGAAAAAGAGCTGAGCGCACATTTCGTATTCTGCATGATTTTCACATATCATATTCCCTTTCGTTTGCTCACCGGGCCGGCTGAATTCGGCGCCGACGCCGGTTCGGTGCGGCACGGGCACCGGTCGTCGTCAACGCCAGCGGACCGTCACGCCACCCTCCGCAAAACAATAACCTCCGCAAAACAATAACTGATTG